TTACCTTACCTTCCCTTCCCTTCCCTGACCTCCCCTTCCTTCTTCCTCTCTCAATTCTCTTCTATCCTTGTTCCCTTCTCTCCTCTCCTCACTGGTTACTACTTTCTCTCATCTGCTCCTCTCATCTCTTTTATTCTCTCTCGACTCATTCCTACCTCCGATACGTGTAGATGATCCAGCGCGAGCCTCGACCTGCACCTTCCTCAGTGACCTGCGCAGCCCCCCCGCCCCCCCCCCTTCCCTTCTCCTCCTCCTCCTCCTCCTCCTCCTCCTCCTCCTATTCGGACCTTCCATGAGCAAGGAACGGACAGTGGCTGGTGAACTGAACTTTACAGTACTCGATGATCATCCGACTTCTGTCAAGAGGAAGTCATTTCGACTCTTCTCGTGTGACGACGTCACCGGTGGATGGTGGTCACAGCAGTGTAAGCTCTGCTCTCGTTTCCTTCTCCTCCCAAGTCGCACCGATGTAGAGTGACCTGAAGAATGTCATGAAACCAGTTGCATTATCAACACCAAACGGTCAATCATCACTATCAACCAGCTTACATTCAATGATCACAACCAACAAGCTTCAGGCATCATCGTCATCATCATAAAGCATCACCAGCGCTGAAGAACTGGAACGTACGGCTGTCACTGGCCCACACGCCAATATGAAACAGTTGTCAAACTTCCATTCACCCCCAACAATCCCAACGGTTGCGATTCTTTTGGCATCAGCCCATAAACTTGATAAATCTTCTAGCGTTTGGATCATCCCGTCCTCCTCGTCCTCCCCCCTTGCTCCCTCCTCCTCCTCCCCCTCGTCGTCGTCGTCGTCGACGATCTTCTCCTTCCACTGGTATCGCTTACCCCCCTCGTGCTTCTCCTCCACCTTCTCCTCCCGCTTGTACCCCTTGTGCACCTTCAGCCCCTTTGCCTCCTTACGCTTCTCCTCTTCTTTGCGCCTCCTCCGCCCCTTCAGTTCCTCCTGCTCCTCCTGCTCCTCCTGCTCCTCCTGCCCCGTGTGCCCCTTGTGCTCCTGCTTCTCCCCTTTCTCATGCTGCTCTTGCAGCTCTCGCACTTCCTCGGCTAACTTCTCCTCCTTTCTAATCTCCTCCTCGTTATCTTCGAACCCTGGGAACAAAATCTCGTGCTGGAGATCGCAGTCAACGGAGCTGCTCAAGTTCAGAGTTTCTCACCTCGAACTTCATCTTTACGCGCTTCTGCTCTGCTCGCCGGACGTGGAAGGAGATATTTCTGACCTCACCGGAACCATACTTCTGAAGCACAACCGGAATCGTGACTCTCGTCTCCTCTGCGAATCCTTCTCCCATCAGAGTGATGTTCCTTCCCACCCCGCGAATCCTTTCATCATCCTGCGATGGTGGTACCTTGTCCCATTCCATCAGGTCAGGGTGAGATAGCTTGCCCTTGCTACGTTGTGAGCCTCTTGGCAGAGTGTAGGTAGAGCCTTGAGAACAAGAGTTATCGCCAAGTGTTTTCTCTTTAGCCTCCACAGCAAATTCTCACCTGATACCTTCAGACTCGTGCTTCTCAAAGAAGCGAGAGGGATTAGAGTACCGCTCGCATTCCTCGATCTCCCCCCCCCCCCCTCTCCTTGCTCCTTCATGGTCCTGCTAGTCTCTTTCTTGCGTTTGCTCGCAAGTCCTGAGCTCATTCTGCTCACGCCGATCGATTCATTAAAGACAAATGTCTCCTTCTCCTTGTCTTTCTCCTCTTTGGGATTCTGGATTGAAGCGCTTCGTACCCAAGGCCAACTGTAGGCACATCGAATCAGACAGGAAAAGCAAGCAAGGGAGGCTGGTGCATCATAGAAACATCACATTTTCTTTTCATCACCCTCAACACATTCTTACGAAACATCATCTGCATCTTACGAAACATCATCTGCATCAGAATACATTCATCCATGGGTCAAGTGACCTCTTGTCCGGATGTAGCAGAGGCATGTCACCGCTGGCATTGAGTTGTCTGTGCAGAAACGTCAACTCCTAGCGATCAGATCGTATGCTGGTTCAAAAGAAATCCAAAGACAAAGATAAGTTGGGTCCAAAGGAGCAGGGAAAGATGGGAAGATTGTGTGGAAGAGTGGAAATCAGAGGAGAGGGGAGGGGAGGGTAGGGGAGGAGGGGTACTTTTGAATCTCCGGTGTCAGGGGATTATCAAGGACCGTCAAACATCCCCTGACATTAAGATGTCAAGGAAACGATCAGCATCGACTCAAAAAGTAATGCTACGTCTCGAAATCGAAGATGTAATGGAACTCAGGTCTCTTGACATCCTCTTCATCCACTTCCTCCTCATCGATCTCGTGCTCATTGATGCAGATTGTTTGATTCCCGATGGTAACGTTCAAGGAGATGTTGTTGTTGAAAATGTTTGTACAGTAACATTTCTCCAGCTGAAAGGAAGGAAGCATTGACAACGAAATATCTAGAGCAACACCTTACCTTGAGTGAGCGGCACCGGTCGCAATCTTGCGTTACATTCACATTTTCGAATGGACAAGTCGCGTCCCACTCTTCGTTCTGCGCAAGAATCCTCTCAACCAGGTCCTTGGGAGCATATTTCATGGCGAATTGCTGTTGCAAACAACAAGAACTTCACTTGTAAGGCATGGTCATCATCATGAGATAATTTCCTTTCTTTCGGGGCCAAACTTGATACCCACAGGCAGATCTCTGATAATTGCTCAGTCTAGACGATTCGGCACGTGGAATCGTGTCCAACCTTTCCTCCTCCTCCCTCAGAAATCTCGTTTGGTTCAGGCTTTCCCTCCTCAGATCTTTGCGGAGATTCTTCAGACCTGCACATTCTCATGAGCGACCGATCACGATGATCTTCGATGGCTCAATCACCTTCTCTCACCACCACTTTCTTCTCATCCTGCTTCAGCTCCTTCCACTCCTCCTGGTCTGACTTGCCGTCACGACATGACGATATGCACACTCACCGCTCACTCAACAATCTTGTTCGGTTGGTTTGCAACCAAAACTGCTTCACGGCTACACAGATTCAGAGGCATCACATCAACATTCCAAATCATTGCCTTCTTCTAGAACTTCCTGATTGTAATCAACACTCCCATCGGGCTGAGAGACTTCGTCAGCTTGCGCAGCGAAAACTTTTCAGCTCCTCACGCGTATTCTCTTGCGGAGCTCGTTTGAGATGAAGTTGGAGAGCAGCTAAACAAAGCTTCAGCTCCAGGACAAGAAACAAGCGCTCTCTTTTACCCGAGAGTCGTCTTTCTGCTTCTCCTCCAGCCTTTGCTTCTTGTTCATGAACCGTCCTGGTGTTGGTTCAGATGGAGCAACTTTCACTCCAGTCTTGGCATGTATCGATACCGTATGAGGTCAAGAGGTTGAACTTGGAGTAGTTTCTCTCCAGTATCTGCTGGTGTAGCTCTTTAATCTGTCAAATGACTTTCATTTCCCGCTGTTTCTCAGCTCCATTCCTTCACCTCTTCCGCGAATTTGGGGTCCTTCTTTGCTCGAATGGTCAGTTTTTTCTCCTCCCTCTCCCTCCTCTCCTGGCTCTTCCATCTCTTCAAGATCTTTACAGCTTCTTCATCCATCTTCATGATCATCTCTGACTTCTCAGCTGCTGCTTCCTTCCACGGCGAGCCTTTTTGAAATTCTGAGAACCTCTTCTTGTCCTTTCCCCCGGTCGACTGAATTTTCGGCGAGGGCCTCGGAGGTTTGCCTCCTCGTTTACGGCTTCCTCCTCCTCTCAGTCTGCACCGCAAGAGGGATCTCAAGATAGCAGCAGGTGTATCCTGGTTGCTCGTTTGAGTGAGAGCTGAGGGTGCTGAAGGATAAGGCGGGACAAAGAGGAGCAGAGCGACGAAGAGGAAGCGAGAGGGAGCGGCTTTCATGTTTCCTGGAACCTTCATGTTCGCATGGGAGTCCTTCGCAACGTCGGAAGCTCCTAGTAGAAGCACAGCAAGGAGGATCGAACAATCATGACTAGGGCGCTGGCGTGATGCGACGACCAGCAACAATATCAGCGTGAAGGAAGGAGGAGCAGGAGCAGGAGCAGGAGCAGGAGCAGGAGCAGGAGCAGGAGCAGGAGCAGGAGCAGGAGCAGGAGCAGGAGCAGGAGCAGGAGCAGGAGCAGGAGCAGGAGCAGGAGCAGGAGCAGGAGCAGGAGCAGGAGCAGGAGCAGGAGCAGGAGCAGGAGCAGGAGCAGGAGCAGGAGCAGGAGCAGGAGCAGGAGCAGGAGCAGAGGATTCAGGACTTGCGCCTGCTCGCCATGGCAGCCTCCGCAACTTTCGACCAAACCTTGGAACTTTGAACTTGAACATTGAAAGTTAAGAATGTTTGAAAGTTTCAAGGGTCAAATTTTTGTGGACAAATTTGAAATTTCAAAATTAGTTTCAAAAGTGCCGCCTATGCAGGGCAGAGCCGACTGTAACGGAGGTCAGGGAGGAGGAGGAGGGGGAGGAGGAGAACACGGAGATGAAGGAAGAGAAGATGGAGAGAAATGGGAGAAGCAGGATGTCCCAAATCAGGTCTCAGGTCCTTCGGATCAAGATCAACAAGCGCAGGCAGATCAAACACAGGAAGCCATGCCGCTCGAGGGTTCAACTCAACAGCAAGGGACAGGCATGAAAATGCAGGATGATGGCCAGGAGGCACAAGAGGAGGTGAATTCATAGAGCAAGCCTCATCTGACGTGTTCCGCTGACAGAATGACTACCTGTAGGTGCCGGCTGGTTGGAGCCGCGATGGTGATGGGAAACTGAAGCCGATCAAAGGAGAGATCATCGCCGTCGACTTCAACGCCAGTGGATCTTCCTCCCTCCAGGACAGATTTCGTAACTTCAGGTTGAACAAGATGAAGTCACAGAGGCAGGAGGCAATCAACTCCAAGAAGAAGCAGGAGGAGCGACAAGATCCTGCGAAAATGCAGGAGCTACGACAGATGTTCATTGATAGATGCAAGTCGTACTATGGTGTCCCTTACGCCAAGAAGTATCATCAGCCTGACTCTGAGCTCTACAACTCCAAGAAGTTCCTTGACTGCTGCGGCCTCGTCCGGCAGGTTCTGCGCGACATGAAGAACGAGCTCGGGTTCTCGCCCGGGCCCTGGAATCAGGCTTATCAGTTTGACACGCTGCCGGTGCGGTACGAGACATGGCAGGAGATGAAGCCGGGAGATCTAGTCTTTGCTGAGGGCGAGTACGTCAAGCCTGGCATGAAGCCGCAGCCAGGTAACATCGTCCACGTCGAAGTCTTCCTCGGAGGTGGTACGGAGGGCAAGTCCGTATGCGGAGCCCGTTGGAACTCAGGAGTCGTTCAGGAGTTTGACAGCTACGAGTTCGCAGCCAAGTCATGGTCGTTGACGAGATGGCACTTCTGCTCCATCGACACCTGGCTGACCGGAGTGTGCAAGTCGTTCAACCCCGACAGGAAGTGGAAGCGGAAGCAGCAGTGGGTGCCGGGCAGCCGCAGCATCTTCCATGCCGAGGAGGAGGAGGATGAGATGGCCGAGGACGAGCTGGATGAACAAGCGGAGGAGGGAAGCGGGTTGAGCAGCAGAGCAGGCAGGAGATTTTTCGTCTCTGACCCGATGAAGTACCGGACGGTGGTGGAGGCGCTGGCGAGCAAGGGATGGCACCAGGTACCTCGGACCTGAGCTGCTCGTCTCCTCTGAGCCCTCGTTGTCCTTAGATCACGATGAAGGACGCGGAGAACCTGAACTTCGACCTCAAGTGGACGGAGACCCTCGTGGAAGTCGACCTGGCGAGGTTTCGCAACAACGAGCAGGTGTAGGTTGCTTCCTGTGGCTCGTAGCTGCTGACGTCAGTTGCTCTCCCTCAAGATTGTGAATCACATCCCGACGCGCTTCCCGCTCTCAAACTTCAACAAGCTTATCAAGACACTCCGGTCAAGAGGTCAGCGGTCACTCCCTTGACGAGTCTCCATGAGTGACCGTTGATAACAGACAGACAAATCATGCGAGAACACAAGAAGTCGGAGGAAGGAGCCTTTTCCTCCTCCTCCTCCTCTCCCTCCTCCTCTCTCATCACCTCGGACAAGTTTGTTCCTCAGGTTGGAAGCTGCCTGCACTCTCTGCCCCGTAGCCGAACTACTCTCAGGTTTTCGACGTCACCCTCTCCACGGACAGGATGCATCTGATTCAGATCCTGGAGGAGGGAGAGCAGGTGAAGTAAAGCGAGCGAGAGCAGCAGCAGAAATTCTTCTTCCCCTCCTCTTGTGCGCTGATCCGATCTTGGTCCTCTGGAAGACACTCGCAGCTTGCCCCTCGTTGCTTTGTTTCCGCCTCCTTCCTCCTTTGCTGTTCATGGGATTTTATTTGCGAATGGCAGAAGAACGACTCATGGGTGCTCAAGTCGGCGGGAGGATCGCAGGTTGGAATGTGGAGCGCATGGGGATGAATTCTAGAGTAGAAGACGAGAGGAGAAGGAGAGAAGAAGAGGGAGAAGTTCGCAAGCAGAAGAGGAGAGAGGAGAGAAGGCGGGGGCTGGGGAGGAGAAGATGGCAGACTCATTTCTTGGTTGCTTGCGCAGAAGACCATCATATCTAGCGATCGAGATGCGCTCCTCGATTCTTTACTCAAGAGAAGTGCCGGTCCTGACAAGAAAGGATACACCATGATCCAGAAGCACATCGCAGACCCTCTCCTCCTTCAAGATCGCAAGGTCCTCCCATCTCCTCACTCCTCCCTTCCCTGCTTTTCTGACTCTCTTGTCCTCAGTTTGCAATCCGCTGTTTCGTCCTCATCCCTCAGACTTTCCCGGCGTTCAAAATTCTCTTTCACACTGGGTGAGACTCCTTGTGTTCCCCTTCCTCCTCCTCTCCCGTCCTCTCCTCCTCACCTTCACCACTGACAGCTACTGCTGCTCATCCTTTCAACCGCAGGTTGTGTTGTTCAGCTCTCAAGAGCTACAGCAGAGATCTGCTGGAGGAGGAGGTGCAGGACCCGTTCCTTGGGTTCAGAGTTGGGGACGCGAGCTTTGCCAGGACATGGAAACAAGCAGAGGCAAGAGCTTATCCCGCCTGCTTACTCCCCTCCTTCCTCCTTCCGCCCTCTTCCTCCCTCCTCCCTCCTCCCTCCACCCTCCTCCCTCTCCATCCGAGTAGCTGATCAAGATGCAGGAAGCGCTGGCGCAGGAGGGAGCTATCCCACGCGGTTGGTTCGATGACCAGCTGAAGGAGCAGCTGGAGACAATCTGCCGAGAGACTTTCTGCGCTGCTAAGAATGATCTTTCCAGGGTCAGGTAAATCTCCTCTGCACCAAGACCATCAATATTTCTTCTGACTTACCTCTATTTCGTTCTCTTTCCTCCCTTCCTCTCTCCACTCTCCTCCCCTCCTCTATCCCCCCTCTCCTCTCTCCTCTTCTCGCTTTTCCCTTCATCCCTTTTGTCCCCTCCTCTCCTCTTCTTGGTTCCAGGGGTTACTTCGAGCTTTTCTCCGTCGACTTCCTCGTCGACTCCTCACTGAAGCCCTGGCTCCTTCGGGTCAGTCTCCTCCCTCCTCCAGTCCTCTTGTCTCATAACATCCCCCTCCCCTCCCATCCTCCTTCATGGCCTTCCTCACTTGCCTCCTCCTCTTCCCCAGTCTCCTCCCCGGACCTCACTGTCTTTCAGGTGGGCAGCAACAAGCATCTCTCTGCTGACGTTCCCGAGCTGCGGCAAGAGCTGTTCAACATCGTCAGCGATGCTCTTGAAATCGTCCTTGAGCTCAATGAAAAGGTCGCTCCCTTGCCTTCTCCTTCTCCTGCCCTCCTTCCTCTTCTTCTCTCTCCCTACCTGCCCTTCCCGTCCTCCCGCCTTCCCTCCTGCTCTTCTCACTGGTCGTGACTTCGATGCACAGACTAAGGTAGAGGGAAAATCTCCAGCTATGGAGGAAATGGAGCAACTAAGGTGCGAGCTGGGAGTCTGTCGGGAGACAGCTGACGAGTCAGCCTGCAGAAAAAGTTCGTTCAAAGTTCTCCTCGAGGAATGACAGTGAATCTCCGGTTGTCATACAAGACAACCTAGTCAGAAGAACGGGAGAGGAGAGGAGACGATTTATGTTTATGTGATGTCTTACGGTATTAAAAGTAAAGTTAGTTGTTGACATGGCAACATGCCTTCACACTACGTCCAATCTCTCTCTCTCCCCCTGATAGTTGGAGCCTGGCGCCATGCTGCTAGGGCGGCTGAAGGCGTTCAGCGCATTCTTTGCGTCCTGTAAGAGCAACGTCAAACAATCTCCCAGCTGAGAAGTTTCCAGCTCACCTCGAGCTGCTTCCTCGTGTCATTCATGGTCGACCTGCTGGGCTGGGGGCCAGGGTCATGCTCAGCCACCTCCACGTCCTCCGCTCACCGCGATGCTGTTGGGTGACCTGTAGGAGTCGTAGGGAGTGTTGCGTCCAGAGTTCGCCCTGGGCTGACATCAGAAGTTGACGACCTGGGAAAGCATAGGAAACCTGCTCGACATCCGATCGGACGAGCCGCGAACTACCACGACCTCGTAGTCGACACCTCGTCGGAGGATGCCGAGGGTGACGAGGGTGTTGGGAGGGCCCAGCAGGTGCTTCTTGACAGCGTCGACCGAGCGGTTGACCGGCCAGCCGTCGATGCTCTTGAGCATGTCGCCGACCTCGATCTTCTGCAGGTCGCCGGACTGGATTTGACACCAGGGGGCAACCTCGGTGACGAGCATGCAGGGAAGGGAGGAGTGCAGGGAGAGGCCGAGACCCACCCCCACCATGGGCGTCTGCGTTTGCATCTGTGACTGCGACTGCATCTGTGACGGGGGCTGACTGATGGGGGTAGGGGTGGGCTGAGCTGAGAGAGTTGGGCGGCTCTGGAAGGGAACTTGAGCCATGGGGTACCTCGAGCTGGAGTTGGCATATGGGGCCTGGTCGCTGATGGCGCGGCGGGGGATGAACCTGCGGTTTCCTCTAGACGCGTCTCCTCTGGTGTTCCTCAAGTCCCCTCCTGTTGCTTTGAACCTGTACGCCTCGAGGAGCAGCGACTGGTCCACCAGGTTGAGCGGCTCGACGCTGTCAGCCATGTCCTTGCTGTCCATCATGGGGAAGCGAACGTACTGCATGATGTTGGCGAGCTTCTCCCGCAGGACGTTGGGGTCGATGTCTCCGTACCTCGCCTTACCCCACCTGACTACCGCACTGAAAGCATCCACCTCCTGAATCTGCAGCTCGTCGTTCTCCAGCAGGCGGCACACGTATGGCTCGGGAACGGCCTCGAAGGTCGGGTTGAGCATGACTGGAGTTGCGTTACGAAGGATGTAGTGTTCGCATCTAGATCAGAATCAGATGGGCTATGTCAGAACACATTGCTCGCCTGTCCACAGTGTCAGAGAGATTGAACTGTAAGGCTGACGCCAGGAGCACGTTGACAGTCTCCACCTGTTCAGATCGAGCAAGTCATCTGGCATGCCCGGACCAACACCCGCTGATTCACCTTGAGGTACGACTCCGCAAACTGGCTGTAAGCTCGGACGAGGGGTTCAATCTGGTAGTAAGTGCTGACTGACAGAAGCTCAATGGCATGCTCGGGGTTCAAGGACAACTTCCCGCTGCGTGAAAGCATCAGAAAAGGTCGAAGAGGATATAGAGCTTTGACCTGTACATGTATGTCAGGATGTCGCTGAACGCGTCTGGATCACATTCCACGCGCAATGAGATTCTATTCGACTGCTGCACGGAGGTCAGCAGTCAGGAACGACTCCTAGAAGCATACCTTTCCACTCAAAGAAGCTAGGCCCTGTAGCTGTTGCGATTGAGCTTGCATGAGCAGCTGCGCGAAGACGCTGCTATGCGCTGCGAGCATGTGGCGGTGACAGTTGACGCTCGCCGTCCCGCTTCCCTCGCGTCCAAGGTGAAGTGTGACGTCCCAGAAGCCCTCCTGAGAGGAATCAAGTCACTGGAGCGAAGCTGTGGCTGAGAAACAAACATTCTCGGAAAGAGATCGTAGAAGTGAATTCTGAAATTGCTCCATGGCATATTCCTCCAAATCATCATTGACAACAGCCATCGCTAAATCTGTGAGGTGCGCCAAGAAAGTCAGAGTCATCGCAAGTCAGATGAAGTCTTGTCTCGTCATGGTCTCTGACTCTAGATACTTCTTGTATCATCTTGACGCAACAGTAACAAAGTTGCATCTCTCTTTCGCTACGATACTCATGTTCCGTTCCCACCTTCGTAACTTCCCAAAAGCATACCCTCAGTCTCTTTACTACCTGTCTGCCACTCTGTTTATGTCCTCTTGTTTCCACATGCTCTTTATCCTAATCTTAGCTCATTTCCTTCCATCATGGATGGCTTTCTTCAATTTCAAGTCTTCCTATCGCTCTCGTCCATACCTTGCTTTCCCCTTTCGTGTCTTCTTTCAAGTTCCATCTTCTTTCTTGTTCTTCTACCAACTTCTCTTCTCTTCCTTTCCATCTTCTTCCTTGTTCTTCTACCAACTTCTCTTCTCTTCCTCTTCATCTTCGTCTTCTCACAGCTCTATCTTCTTCACATCTTCAGCTCTCTTCCATCCTCCTCTGCCTTCTCCTTGGCTTTCATTCAAATTCGCAAAAAAACGTCACCCCTACCCCTACCCCTCCTTCTCATACCTACAGCTAGTTTCCACATACCGAACATGAAAGTAATCTAGGTTTAAATTCACTATTTCAGAATAAATTTCGGTCTTTCCCCGAAATTGTACCCACCCCTCGAGCCTGCTCCTTGACTCTCCCAACTCAGGATGGGACACTCAACCATGGTGGTAGCGCCGAACATACGGCGAAACGATGGTATGGCGATGGAATGAGCAGAGAACGGGAGCGAGCACAAGGACGATGACACATACCAACAGTTTGCGATGTCTTTTGCTCCTGCTGAACGATCGGCTGAGATAATATCTCCACTGCTGGCTTACCATCCAAGTGAATGGAGTGAATGGATTAACTCGTAAAGGGATAGCACGAGTATGAGTGGGAAACACACTAGTTCGCACAGGACAGTTGCAAGTGACTGATTAAGTTCCAGGTTGTTCAGGGCTACAAGAGAGCTAAGATGAAGTTTTATGTCAATATGAAATCCCTTGCGGTAAATGATTCATTCTAGAAGGCGCAGGCATAGAGGGCCATTGTGTTCTCACCATTCACGAGATCGCATGACTGGAGCACAAGTCAACCAATGAGCATCAGACCCGCAACACCTTACCCTTCCGTTGCCAGTAGGATCGAAGGTAAAAGTCTTCGCGTTCACCCACACCCTTGTCGCCGAGTTGCCCTGTACACGAAGAAAGTGAGCGTCACGATAATGGGGAAAGCAAGCAGCTTCACCTGAGTGAAGGCAGTAACCGCCTCGAAGTTGGAGCATCTCCCTCCATAGTGCCCGATGTCCATCCCATGTGTCAACGAGCTCGTGGAGAACATGTTGGCCAGTCGCCACCAGTCACGCTCATCCCATTCCTCGTGTGGCTGCCAAGCTTTGCAATCCTCGGGCAACTTGTCTTTGTTGTCCCTAGCAAGAGGGTCAGGCCATTAGAGCAGCTGACAAGGGACAGTACTCGATCTCGATAGACTTGAAGCACACGCCCCGGTACATCATTCCGCCAATGCGGCTGCACTCCAACATTTTGGAAGGGGTTCCACGAGTTCCAGCCTCTCCAGCAGGTCCAGTGGGACCCTTCGGACCCTGGCCAAAGAGAATCAAGACTGAAAGTCTGAGGAGCAGCCTCCTACCTTGAGACCGACTGGGCCCTCTGGTCCCATCTCTCCCGGAACACCCTTGGGCCCGGCATCGCCCGTCGGGCCGATTGGGCCCTCAGGTCCTTGTTTGCCCTCGGGACCCTGCACACCGTCTTGCCCAGGATGACCAGGAAGTCCAGGAACTCCGTTCCAGCCTGAGCAGAGAGTAAGTAAAACTGCAGGAACTGGCCTTGACTGACCAGCGGGTCCTTGCGGTCCAACCGGCCCGGTCGAGTTCTCCTTCTCAAGCATCTTATTCTCCAGATAGCCTAACTCAAGTCAAACAAACATCTCTTGCCCACTTCCAATACTCACTATCCTCGCGCTTCAACGCCTCCTTCATCTCAAAAACCCTGTCTTTCATGACGTCCTTGAGCTTCTTCATCTTCTCGACAGACTCCGCAATCCTTCGGTGGTTGACCTGACCGACATTCAGCGAACTTTGCAGACAGCAGTCCCGCTCATGATCACCTCATCAAGGTGCTCAAGAGATTTGATATATTCTTTGTTCTTCTCGATGTCCTCCTTCTGCTTCTTGATGGCTTCCTCATCCAACACAGGGCACATAGGACAGTCTCCGGGAGCCATGCTCACATCGCCGAAGCTGCGACACCAAGGATAAGGAACCTGAGGCCCCTAATTCGTCTCCTCACCGGATGATAGTCGGAGGAGGACCTGGAGGAGCAGGAAGCGTCTTAAACTTGATGGAACCCAAGGGACTTCCGTCACGTCCAACCACCTGCACCTTGCCCATCGGGGGTGTCTGGGAAATTGAAATGAGAAAGAGGATGAGACCGAAACGTGTCCTTACTTTGATGTATCCCAGGCCGGGAGGATGTTCAGGTACATCGATGGCTCCGCTCACAGTGAAATCAGCAAGATTCTGCTTCCTGGCCTTCATGCTCAACAGCGCGAGGCGTTGATTCTACAGAAGTTTTCAACGCGTTGTTGCACTCTTTATGAACAGTGTCGACTGACCTGATGGGATGAAGCTCTGCCATTGAACAGTACGATGACACAGACTGCCGCAACAGCAAGAACACTGGCCAGAAGGTATTTTCCAGCCCGCTTCTGTTAAAGTCTCGATTCAGCTTTTCAAGGCGAAATTGCAAACAGAGTATCTAGAGAAAATGTGCCGGAACTGGATCCTGAGAGCACTTATTGCCATACTTTGATATGGAAAGATCTCCCAGGACGGAAAAATCAACACAATACATGAAATACGACTGTTTCTGCTGTCGTGATGGGAATCTATCTACTTTCTTTCATTTCTTCCACAAGAGGATCTAACAATTGAAATCTTCTGACAGGTACTTAGTTGTGAGAAAACTATACGTGTGAAAAGACAAAGGCGCCCTAATCCACCATGAAAATCAACTCATCTGCCCTGCACAGCCTTCCTGCCACAGAATCCGAGCAAACATGCAAGTGGCCAACCCTGACAGCATCACAACTAGGTCTCCATGTCTGCTCGCAGACCATGATCGCATGTTTTGCTTCCAAGTCCTCTCCTCGTCCCAGCCTCTCTCACCTTCTCATCTGGCGGATGAAGCAGGAGATGATCTCTCTCCCCCGCCATCCCGAAGGGTCGCCGCCGCTTCAACCACCGTTACAGGTGGTTGAAGCCTATGCTTGACCGTTACATCCCAATAACGCCAATTTATTTAGTCAACCTTGAGAAACGGGTTAAGATCTAGGTTAAATCCATAGGTGATCCTAGTTAAAGATTCCAGTTAACTCAATTGTGGTGCCACAACTTGGCAACCCACCGTCACAGGCTGTTTGTTGGAACTTGAACTGTCAACAACTTTGTTCTGCCGATGCATTCAAGTTCATGATGAGGTGGGCATGCACTGCCGCATCATCGAGTCAGAAGATGCGGCGGCGATGTGCCATGCGATGCCGCAGCCTGTTCAACTCACTGTCACGGTTAGAAACTTTACCTCTGCCGCTGAGGCTGGCAAGGCTATGAAGAGTTGCTGAGGCAGGGCTTGGCCGGGCTTAACTTAATTTACTTTGACTTAGCGCAGGACGGGGCCCGGGACCGTGGGCGCACCGTAAAACAGTGCCATGCCCGGCAGCTTGACTAGGAGACCGTGAGAAGGACTGTAGCCGGGGAACGCCGCGCGGCGGCCCCGCGATCATCATCATGCACTGTGACAGGCCCTTGTGATCAGGCTATACTGTTGCACCGCCGCCGCGGAGCGATCCGCCGGTGTTGCCTGGGCAACTTCCGTTTGAAAGTTTCAAGTTTTAAGTCACTTCCAGGAACCGTTCAACGGGCGTGACGGTTTCTGGCCGCGTCCGATCACTGCCCGAGCCCGGCTGCTGAGGCAGGTCCGACGACAGTGGGCCGGCCGCGCCCGGCCCGGCGGGCCCGGCGGCGCGGCCGCAGTAATCAGTACTGAAAACACTCCGGATGGTGACTACGGATTGGTCGTATAGAGTCGGAGTTTGTTGCTACCGGAAGATTCAAAAAATTGAACTAGAGGAGGGCAAACTACCGTGACAGTAGCCATGCCGGCACTGCGAGCGGGCGAGCGATGGGCAGGCGAAGGGGAGGGGAGGGATGGAGGGACTCTAAGAGAGATGAAAAGAACAGTGACTGAGGAGAAGAAAGTAGTGCCCTGTATGAGGAAAGGGAGGGATGAGAGGAAAAGGAAGAAAATGAGACAGGTTCAGGAGTATTGAGATAGCTTTAGCGTTGTTGACTATCAGCTTATAAACCTGCCTCAAGGTGGGCGAGAGACAGAAAGGTAAAGAATCAAGAACAAACTCGCTTCGATGCCTGATATCTCTGAAGAATCTTTACCTGATCGACCTGATTCACAGAGTCTCTTTCGATCTCTGCGGCCAATCCGTCATGGGAATTACATTTTCGTCGGACAAGAATGAAAGCGATTGCTGCGGCTCTCGGAGAATGCTCATTGGAGCTCGTGGAGATATCTTTGAAAGTCGAAACAGAGCAGGTGTTAGCGTATGATGATGATGATGATGATGATGATGATGATGATGATGGTGATGGTGATGGTGATGGTGATGGTGATGGTGATGTAATAGTTGTTCTTGTTGTTGTTGTGGTGGTGGTGGTAGTTGTGGTGGACGTGAAGTCGAAGAATCTTCTGGTCACGTTAACGGTGATGTCAACATGACTTTGCTGCAAGGCATTCACGAGAATGAATCTGGAGTTGGTTTGATTCTTCATGCCGATGCCGTGGGCTCTCACCTAGTAGTTCGTCAGGTCAGTCGTCCCCGCCCTTCACGTCTGATTTCTACCACCTCCAGGTGCTGCCTCATAGCTCGGCAAAGCTGCAAGATGTTCAGGTCGGCGACGAGATCCTCGCCATCGACGGCATCAGCCTGTCGAGGTGTTCGAACGAGCTGAGAACGAGCTGCTCCTGAAGAGGCCGCAGGGACCACATGGTGCCTGGAGGGCGATCACCTCTGGTAGGCAGAGATGCCAAGGACATGACGGTGCTGCTGAAGCGAAACAACCGGATCTTGAGCAAGAGGCTGTCACGAGCCTACAACATGTATCGTTCCTTCTCCCAAGAGTCCATCATCCACTGCATGCCCCCGCCAGGTGACGTTGCTCCTTCACGGCTGTATGGCTGATGCTTTCAGCTCAGCCTACAGCCGTCGAAGGTTGTCAGCCACAAGGGACGTGGAGCTTCCTTCAGCCTCCATCACTCCACGTTCCATGCAGGAAGGGGAAGTAGGAGGTGCGGCAGCAGCTCGAGCAACGAGCGAGGCGTCAGGTGCGTGTTGACGATGGGGAGGTGTCACTCTGACCTCGTCCTCCTCGCATCAGAAGTTGACTCACAGCCGTTGAATTCTGCTCGTTCCCTCGACGAAGTGAGCAGGTCTCCTCTCTCCTCCTCTCCCAGCTCTCCTCACTCGCTCTCAGCATCCGATCCCTCTCGGAGCTCAGCTCGTCCACCTATGGCATGCGCGGAAATGAAGACTCGTCCCTCCCCCCCCGCCCTCTGCCGCTCAAGCAGCCCGGCAGGTACTCGCAGCCTGTCAACCAAGCGAGGATGGGAGGCAAGCGAGCGTCGACCCTCCGGCATCCCCTCCGGACCTTGACGAACCAGCTAGTGCCGAGAGAGCAGTTGGATCACTCGCGAGATGGCGCGGGCAGAGTGCTGAGAACTCCGGGAAGGAGAAATATCCGACGAAACTCAAGGCTGTCTGAAGGCTTCAAGACGTGAGCCGCTGATCTCCTCCTCCTCCTCCTCCTCCTCCTCCTCCTCCTTTCTCTCCTCCTGCTCTTTTTCCTCTTCCTCACTCTCCATCTCCTCTGCCAGGTATGCGATGGAGAAGATCTTGCACGGCAATCGAACTTCCAACTTCTCAGGTGGAGGATGAGACGCGGCGGGAGAAGATTGACGAGATGGCAGACGGGTACAACAGCGACTCGAGCCTGCCGAGCTGCTACTCGGACTCAGCGATTGACATGGACCTGAACTTGACGGGGGAGAACATTGTTTGTGAGCAGCAAATGCCATGGTTTCATCGCTGAGATCTTAATGCTGCAGGATGCAAGGAAAAACTGCTAGTTCAACACTCGATGTTAGTCTGTGCAAGGAGATGCAAGAAAGGATCATAGCGATGGTTCTGTCTCTTGTGGTGTGTCCTGCTCGGCCTGCTCGGGGGCTGCTGACCCACCAGCTTTCGGGTTCTGAGTAGAAGTGATGAGCAGGGTTGCGTGATAGAACTGAATTTACCGGGATGAGAGGAGTGAGAGCTCGAACCTGAAATAGAAACACAATGAACGAACGAACGAACAAACGAACGAAGACAACATCAGCAACACGAACCAATGAACGAATGCAGACAACATCAGCAACATAACAGCAACACATGGTGACTTGATTGCTCGTGACAAGTTACCTGAGTCTTCAAAACTTCCTTCTCCTCATCCTTACCCAAGTTCTGGCAGAGGGTCAGTGTCCTTACGGACAAAGACAACTGCGTAAACCTCCAAGACGAAGATGGTCGGAACTAGATCGCCAGTCTTGACCGCACACATGGACAAGATCTTCCGTGATGTCAGTGGTTTGCAATCATGCCGATAGCAGATTACCCGGAACAATCCCAACTTCCTCACCAGCTCAAGGACCTTTCAGAAAGGATCTCTCAGGTTTGATTGAAGACCAGGAAATCCCTCACCATCTCACACCTCTGCACAAGGAAAACCAACCGTCCTCCCACCTGAAGTACCTTCATCATTCAGCTATGTAAACCCTCGACCCTCACCCGCAGGATCTTGGCGGAGGAGAACAGAAATCCTTTGTAGATCCTCTCCAGATCAGCATCCTTGCCCACTCGGACCTGCCCACGAGCTCAGAGCTTTTGCTCTCCGATTCCTCTGACGCGTCACCCCCCATGGCGGGTTTGTCACGATCACGTCGAAGGAGTTGGAGCTGAACGATCGATCGAGGACGCGAGCATTGAGCTCCTGCAAGCGGATCAGGGGAAAGGAGAGAGCTTGAACCAGAGGCAAGGGAGTGAAGTGAGGAAGGAGACGAGAAAAGAAGGGAATGAAAAAAAAGACCGTGAACTCGACGAGATGTTCGATCATCGACGCCTTGGCATTCGCTTTCGCTCCCTCCACAACTGCATGCTTTCACTCTCGACCTCTCAGTCAGACCCTCACCAGTCTTGGATCTGTCACATCCACACAGCCTGCCTGCCTTGTCCCTGGGGGCGCGGCTGCAACTGAGCAGGAGGGATCGACCACACAAGGAAGCAGCTCACCCGAAGATGCATGCCGCCTCCATCGGTATCGTCCCTCCTCCGCAGAACGGATCCAGCAACGAGCCGCCATCCTTGAGCCCTGCCTGTGCGTCAAGGGGTGGGAGGCAGAGCAAGCGGTTGGGAGGAACCTGACATTCGGATCATGCAGTACGCCACGTTCGGCTTCAATGTGACGCTTCGCTGCCAAGAGGGTGAGGGAGTGAAGACTGTGAGGGCTGCTGCTGACCACGAACGCCAGTTTGTGTCTCCTCGAAAGCTAGACTCCGTATGAGTGAGGACAGCAGCAAGAGAGATCGAGGCAAGGAGAAGAAAAGGGAGGAGATGGATGAAAGGAGGAGATGGGGGCTAGTAGGGAAGGCACAGGGAGACTGTAAGGAAGCTCACCTGATCTTTGTTGGGCATCGAGCACACGAGCACCTGAGGGGAGAGTGAGAGGGAGGTGAACACGACTGAACAAGACCAACCTTGTCCATGACGATGTCCACACGAATGCAGACCTGAAGTCATCGGCAAGTCTCAAACAAGATTAGAGCAAAGTCGTCGATTCTTCTTTACCTCGAATTTTTTCATGTCTGCTCGTACCTGTACGAACAAACTCATCACAAATCATGCTCCTCCCTCGCACCCTCGCTCCCTCTCTTTTTGCGCTTTGTCCGTCAAGCAAACTCGTACTTTCCTTGTATTTCTCATGCAGAACGGAACCGACCTCTCGTTCAACCTGAGGTCGATCAGATTCAATTCACGTTTCTCCCTCCTCAGTACTGACTTGGCTGCTCTGGAATCCATGCTCATCGGACTTGCTTGTCTCCATGGCTGCTGAAATTATCTCCTCGGCAGCATCTGTCGCGATCTCTGAATGTGTCTTTTCTGTTCGAGCTTTCTTCGCTGAACGATCTTCCCCGAGGGCTTTTGTATCCTGCTTCTTAATATCTCAACTCCCTCCTCCACACTAGGATGTTTCCGGTACCTTGTTCCCCACCATTCGCATGCTTCCCACCCTCTCTGAAACGAGCTGACCTGTTAGGGATGGGAAGGAGGAGAAGGAATGGCCCCACCTGACCGGACTCGGAAGCTCTCAGCTGATCCCATCACCGAGTCCAGCTGAGGAAACAAGTCTGTGGGGTTGAGACAACAAGAATGAGGATGGAGGAGAAGCGAAGATGGTCTTGCCTTGCACTCCTTTGCAGATCGCCTGGATCAGCTCTTGGCCTCTTCCTACCATGACAAACAATCAGAACCAAGTTGCAGTAAATGCCGAGTTTGAGTTTCAAGCGGAGGAGCATGATGATGATGATGATGATGATGGTGGTGGTGGTGGTGGTGGTGGTGGTGGTGGTGGTGGTGGTGGTGGTGGTGGTGGTGGTGGTGATGATGAAGGTGATGATGATGAAGGTGATGATGAAGTTGATGATGAAGGTGATGATGATGAAGGTAATGATGATGGTGATGATGACGATGCTGAGATGGGCATCGCTGGTGGAAGGGTAGATTAGATCATGGAGCACCAGCTTCAGGGAGCAAGAAGTAGCCGTGGAACTTGAGGACGTCGTGGGCACTTCTCAGCTCTTGCAGCTTCTCGGCATCTTTCACGTCTGTGAGGCCGAGGTATCTGAACACCTCTACTGTCAAGGATCTCAATCAACTCCAACAGCTCGGTGTCACCCGGGGCATCCGAAGCAGCTGGGATGGACGGCTCCCACGTGGCAGATGCTCCTGACCTCACTTGCTAGCTCGAGAGTCAGCTGGAAAGAGTCAGCTGGAGCGGAGCTCGGGACCTGCTATGCGCTCGAGTCCTGGGTTGGTGGTGACGAGCTGAGAGCACTTGATGTCTTTCCTCTCCTTGTCTTCCCCACCAGCAGGATCCTGGCAGGAAGATGAGCAGCTGGAGCAGAGGTCAGCCTCCCTCCTACCTCAGAGGGGAAGGAGGAGAGGAACTCTTTGACTCCATCGCTCAGCTGTGAAGCTTTCTGTCGTGCCGTGAGGACACGAGGACGCGTATCGGACAGCAAACCTGCGAGATGCTCTGCGGCAGCCTGACTGAGGTGTTGAGGAACATGAAGCGCTTTAGATCATCTTGCGACAGATGTCATGAGAACCCCAAGGAACAAGATACTTTCGCACCAAGGGCTCCCTGGATCACAGCGATGGTGTGATAGGCATCGGCATCCATCTCTTCACGGGCGACACTCATGCAAGCTCGAGGTTCTGGAGTGAGAACCATGAGACAAGCACAAGAACATCACAAAGACTTCAAGATGAGAGTTTAGCTCCGTGTCTTCCGACGAATCAGCCTCCAATTTCTAGTATCAATCTCTACCTCAATCCTACCTTTGCTCTTGTCCTGCTGCTATCAAACGAGCCACCTTGAGTATCTTCAGCATCTTTCAGTCAGTCTATCTGTCTGTTCGTCCTCTCTTGTGCTTCATCTTTCCCTCCTCCTTCCCTTCCAAGCTAGTCGCTCCCGCATTTCCTTGGATGCGGAGTCCGATGCGTCTCTCTGGAAGTCAAGAGAGGGGATGAGGGCCCAGTCGGGAAGGCGTCGGGATGGCGACGGCATGGCGGGGAGTCATGGGGTTGCTGGTGCTGGTGGCGATGGTGGGAGGAGGCGACCCGATAGAGGAGGAGCATCAGAGTCAGACCCCGATGAGATCCTGCCGTCATGGCCGCGGGAAGGAGGAAGGTCATGTAGTGACCTGGAGGAAGGATGAGGGGGAAGGGGCACAGGTGCTGGTATTGGAGCCGGTCCATGGCGAGGTTGTTCCCAGCGTGCTGTACATCACGTGGGAGGTTCTCTACTTTGACATGGCTGACGGCTTCGTCGAGGTCGCATCCTTCGCCTCCCCATGAACGTTGGTTGACATAAGTCCAGATCGAGATCGATGGAGGAGTGGTGGACACGCCGCTACCGATGGTCGCAGAGACCGGAGAGCATCTCCCTCCTGAGTTGAGGCTTCACAGCCGGTGAGCTTGATTACTATTCAGTCTTTCTTCCCACCTTTCTTCTCCTCTCTTTTCATCTGCTCTGCTCCACTGAAATCTTGACTGAGCAGGTACGGATCGGGAGTTCCGTTGGCCATGGGGAATCATACTGTGCGAGCCAACCTTTACTCATTGCAGGCAGGCACATCAAAGTGTTTCCTTGTGCAACCTGACAAGCTCTCGTTGCTGCCATCTTCCTACAGGGAGAGTGCCTCAGTTTCCATCAGATCTCTGTATCAGTGGTAGAAGCATCGGTACGCCAAGACAACTTTGCGGATGTTAGCTACGAGGCTGCCTTGCGCCTCCATCAGGTGCTGATCATCCACTCGTACTAGATTCTCCTCCTCCCTGACCTTTCTCCTTGTGTCATCGCCAGCATGTGCAAGCGTCAGGGCAGCACCGAGTCGAATCGCACAGCAGCTGGCCGCCCACAGAAGGATGCGAGGAGATGAATCCGGTGGTCTTGCTGCTGTCGACCTCACCACCCCAGCTAACACCCGGAGAGGTCCCGGGCTTCAAACCTCTCTCATCCTTCAGCTCTCGTCCCCTCATTGTGTACGCCTGCCCTCCTCATGTCTGTGGAGGAACTTTGAACTGGCTGAGATGGCAGGTGAAGTGAAGATGAGTCACAGTCTTGTTGAGGATGCGATACTGCAATGATGAGACAAGACGCAATCATGCGATGATAACTTAGAACATACCATGATGATCAAGGAGATTAGAGATGTATCTTTGTTGATGTTGCAAGTTCCAGAGCGCAGACATGATCTGTGTTTGAACAACTTTCGTTTCCCTTCTGATATTCGTTTCCCTTCTGATATTCGTCGGATAGGAAGATGCAGTTGCCGCATGTGGACCGAATTGCTTTTGGGTTGACAACATGACTTGCCCAGAGTATGCTGATGTTCTGCTGTTGAGGTGAGAATTGCGGCTTCTTCCGATCTTTGCAAACTCTTTGGTTTTCCAAGTTGCTACACCAAACCTCCGCTACAACTGGTGAAACGAGAGCATCAGGTAAAGTTGTGGAATGCTGCTGTGCCTGCTTCGATTGCCTTTGATGTTTCCGGAACACGATGTCAAAGAATGATGAGATGCTCGGAGACATCGATGGCTGGCAGCATTGAACTTTTTATGCTCGATTCTGAATTGTTGTGTCAATGTCAATGGAGGTCTCCTTCCAGTCGAGGATGACGTGGACATCTGCTAGATTTGGGCTTGGTTCTGCATGGAGAGTGATACTCGACGCGATATTCTGCCGGGTTGTTGGCATTGTACTGTCTTCAACCAGTTTTTGATCTACTTCCAGCTAACATTCTTCCCCATCTCGACCTCGTGGCCAACTTCAGATTACATGGGGACATTCCAAACACCCTGGAGACAATTCATCAAGACATTGACATCGGAACTCCCAGGCTGATTGAGAAGAGCGGAAAGATAATCCATCATGTGACCGTCACATACACCCCCGGGAATTTAGAGATGTACAGGCTGCAAGAGGTTGTTGTCTATCCTTCTGCTGCTCTTCATGTTGCTTTTTGAGCTTTTGTTGTTCGATGGACATGTGTTGTAGATGTGTTATCAACACATGATCAAAACTAACGGTTGATTGTTCATACCGGTACTCAGAAGCAGCAGAGGAGTAGGAAGATGTTTGCTGCTTACCTAGTGTCCAACTGCGGGAGACCGCGGGACGCATTCATCGCCCGCCTCATGTCTGCGCTAGGAGACGACAGGCTTCACTCCTATGGCAGATGTATGAACAACAGGAAGTTCCCTGAGGAGAAGGTCAGCTCAACACAAGTGCGGGGAGGGAAGGAGAGCGCAGGAGACAGAAGGCAGACGATAGGGAGGAGGACAGAAGAGGAGCTGGCGGAGAAAGGGGAGCGGGATGACGTGAGAGCTAGAGGATGTGCTGATGTGATGGTGCAGGAGCACGGGTCGAACTCTCTCTCTCTGCTCAAGATGTACAAATTCACCATAGCTATCGAGAACTATCTGTCGCATGACTACGTGTCGGAGAGATTTTACCAGCCGCTGCTGGCTGGCTCAGTCCCGGTAACATGCGGCGATCGATAAAGATGCTGCAACATGCGCCGAGCAAGCTCATCACAGTGCACATTGTTGATGATGCTATCACGATCATGTGAAGTTGCGATGAGAGAAGTTGTTACTTGTGTCTGTTGGAGCTGATTCAAGCTTCATTGGTGTTTGTTGTCTGTCAGTTCTTCAAAAACACCTGGCACAGTGTAGTGACTGTGCTGCGTCTGATAGATCTTGGCAGGTTTATCTCGGAGCTCCCAACATCGAAGAGTTTGCTCCAGGAGTGAACTCATTCATCGACATCCGAAACTTTCCTTCCCCCGAAGCTCTTGCTTCTTATCTCATCTCCCTTGCCGACAACCATACAGCCTACGACTCTTTCTTCACATGGAAGCTCGACGGCCCCAGGTCCGTCCCCTCCTCACCCGTCTCCTTCAGTTGGACCACTTCCTCTCTTGTTGCTTTTCCTGTTGCTTTCTGATTTCTCCCCTGATACTCTTGTAACTGATCGCTTTCCTTGCTGCTTGACCGTAACTCTCTTCCAATTCTCTGACTTGTTGGTTAGCCCTGAATTCCTCCGCATGATGAACATGTCCATGACTCGCGGCAACGTGATCTCCTTCCTTGTGGTCGTTCTCCGCGTGCTGACAGCTTTCTTCTACCCACAGGTCTACGGGGAGGGAAAGCATCATCAATGTCAACATCAGGTTGCCTTGTCTTGCTTCAATCCTGTCCCTTGCCTCTTGGACGCTCCGCTCCGCTCCGCTCTGCTCTGCTCTGCTCTGCTCTGCTCTGCTCTGCTCTGCTCTGCTCTGCTCCGCTCCGCTCCGCTCTGCTCTGCTCTGCTCTGCTCTGCTCTGCTCTGCTCTGCTCTGCAATGCTCTGCTCTGCTCTTCGTCACAGCAGTTGCGTCAGGTCGACCTCAACAGGCTGCACACCAGCATGTGCAAGAAGCTTGTCGCTTTGACGCGGAGGGAAATGAAGTGCGGGGCCTAGACAACGCGACTGGACGGCAGGCTGAACTTGTGGATGAGGTTTCTGATTGTTGAGGCTCAACGTTCTAGCTTGCGAGCGCATTGCAACATGCCTGTGGACTTAGTCGAGCTGGAGACAGTCAGCTGACATCGGATCAGGCATCGTCACGGTTCGAGCATGACAAGGATGTACAGGAGTGGTTCAGTGATTGATAGTTAGCCTGCACTGCGTGCGAGTGAAGCGACTGAGGGCGATGAGAGAAAGTTGCTCGTCCGATGATCATCGCCAAGATCTCCCTCGGACTCGGCCCCAGGAGTTGTCAAAATCACTGGTGACCTTCCGAGTCTTTCAAGGTCTCGAAGAGTTCAAGTTACCCTATGGCACATTCTCCCATCATTCGTCGTTCATCAAGTTGAAACTTGCCGGGCCCGGGCCCGCCGGGTCAGTCACTGAACCGTCAATCAAGTTGAAAGCCCGGCCCCGGGCGGCCGGGCCCTGGCACTGAAGGGTACGGTCATTGAGTCCGGTGACTCGGTCCGATCAACTCCGAGTGACCGTACTCCCGGGCCGGGCGAATCATCGCGGCCTTTCCGCCTTGGGGCGGTGACTTACGGGCGCGGCGTGGATTAGTAGTAGGAGACAAGAAAAGTTGATTAAAACGGTCACGTGAATGTCTGAATTTTCACTCAGCAAAGTTAAGTTAAATCAGCACGGAGGACAGTGACGGCTCGGACATGTATCATATGGTGGTAGGGATTGTCCTCGTACTGATTTTAACTTACTGGGCCTCCAGTTTGAGTGCGGCGGGCTGCGGCGGCGTCCCTTGAGAGCCAACCGTCGGTTCAACGGTTCGCACTCCAAGTGTTCAGTGCCGTTTGTCGGACTGTCATGGTCACCCGACACAATTCACGGTCCGTCAGCCTTCAGGCTCCTCGCAACCCAACGGCTGTCGTTGAGAATCTTCTGACCGCGTCCCTGAGATGGCAGCAGGTACCAGTCAGTCACAGAGTTAGGCTCAGGGGCCCCCGAACGTGACAGATCGGACCGTCTGTGTGACTCGCCAGTGCTGAGGGACGCGCCTCGCGACTCCGGGAGTCTGCGGCGGAGAGCCGCGAGATTGAGAGGGGACAGGGGCAAGATTCCTTTACTCAAAGTTAAGTTAAAAATCAGTACGAGGACAATCAGGAGAGTTCGGTCCGAGTCCGACGTGCCCCCTTTCAGTCAAAGATGGTTCCTCATATGACCCGGAGGCTGCCGCAGTGCGTTTGCTCTTCCCGTACGACTCGGTACACCCTGAACGTGACGGGGAAATATGGGTGACCGGAGCATTTGAGGGGGTGGGGGTGGGTAGTACCGTACATTGCACCTTGGCGGGGGTACTTATTAGACAAAATGATCCATTTTGAGGGGGTAGGGTTATACAGGGGGTGGTAAGGGGGGGTCCACAGGGAGAATGTCTCCCACGGTCTATCTCGTTAATTTTTTTGGCAGGGGCAACAGACCAAAAACATTTTATATTTAAAATATTTTATCTACAACCTGAAAATCCCAACCCTGGACTGCATCACCCTACCCAACCCCTCCGACCCACCCTTCCGCTTCCCTCCACACACACTACCCCCTTCCCCCTTCCCCCTTCCCCCTTCCCCCTTCCCCCTTCCCCCTTCCTCGTTTCCCCCTCCGCAAGCCTAAAACAACCCGTACTACACCCAGTCCTTCACCCCACCCTATTTTTCAAAGGGATTCAATCACCACATTGTAGGGCATGGTAGCCACTTTCAAGGTACCCCTACCCCTGGCAAACCAGAAATCTGAAGCAAAAATTTGGTTTTCCGATCTCTTAACTCCTTCTCGAAGGGGGTGGGGGTGTACACCCTACCGGCTATTGAGGGCTTCAGGTTGGTCTATGTACGGGTGTATCAAGCAGACGCCGGGTTGTGATCGATGGGTGTTCTCCGGTTCTCAGGAGTTAAATGTGAAAAAGAGCGATGTCGAGGATTATATAAACACTTGTTTGATTAAAATGATTTGAACTGTTGTAGCATCGTCTGAGAAGCCAAACGTCCCAATTTAATACTGTTTTTAAGTCTGAAGAAGGTTGGTCGATGGGGTAGGTAATTGAGAAGTCAGGGGTGATAAGAACCACCGGTGGTGAAAATCTTGTGATCTACCCCATACAACGTAAGATATGGTAGGGGTTATCCGTAATTCAGAGGCTTAAAATCACCCACATGGGGGTCGGCAAATTGACAGGGGTATGGCCTGGGGGCAGAGGGGGTAATGTCAGCAGTAAAGCGGAGAAGGAGTTATCTCCAAGGGTTTTATCGTTAGAAAGGAAACCAGAGGCAGGAGCCCGACGAAACGAGAACAAGGCCCACGCAGAGACACACATAAAGTTTGAGCACAAAGGACAAGGACAAGGACAAGGACAAGGACAAGGACAAGGACAAGGACAAGGGCAAGGGCAAGGGCAAGGACAAGGACAAGGACAAGGTCAAGGTGAAGGTCAAGGATAAGGATAAGGAAAAGGATAAGGATAAGTTGTACGGGAACAAGAAGGGAGCTGGGAGACTGTGAAACGGTCTGAAAGGAAAGCACGAGAAGCGCAGTACCTCTGTAGAAGACGAGAGAAGTCTGCTCCAGCAGGTGAATCGGACACGAGGGAAGCTACATTACAAGCTTGAATGATAAACTCAGAAGACATGGAGAAACACCACGATCAACAGCAGCAAGATGATACCCCGCCGTCAAATTCATCCAAGGTGAACATGGCTTACTTCCTCCCCGAAGCAAGGATGGCGGCATCAAGGAGAAGAAGCTGCATCATCATGAAAGACGATTACACAGAGCAGAGTGAAACGATGTACTCGCACTTCATGGAAGAAATCAAAGTGGAGGACCTGATGATGAACCAAGGCCCCAAAGGGGATGCGAGGAGGCGGAGGTCGACGGTGTCGAGGCGATCGTCGTCTATCGAGGACGACGAGAAGTTCAACAAGATCTGCTTCTATCTCCCCTTCGACCCGACACTGGGGGAGTCGGTGGACGCCAACGGCAACTTCATCATCGACGGGGCGTATGATGCGCTGGACATCACCAAGGTCCACCTTGGGCACGTGATCGATGCGCAGGGGAACTTTCTGAAGAAGCCTTTCCACATGCGCTTCCTCTCTAACGACTTTGGGTTCAACGACATGCCTGCTGTGAACCTGTCGACTTCGCTGAACACGATGATGATCTAGATTTGCCCGTAGATTGATGTCATGATTTAAACCAACTTTGAGTGAAAGGGACAAGAGCTATGTTATGTAAATGCTGCCCCCCTTGGGACTCTTTTCTTCTGCCTTGTTGCTGCTTACACAACCACTGACATCTCCTTATTGCCGCTGACATGCCATACTGACCGACCCGCTTCTCCTGATCCCTGCTTTCACACTGCACACCTATATCCCCTCACCCTCCTCAAGTACTACTTGGTATGTGAGTATCTTACACTGTTTGTCATGGTTTTCATTGAATCGCATCCTTGTTTCATATCGCACATGTGCACATCATGGAACGCTATGAAGAAGCCATCTTCCGCTTCACTCCTCTTCCTGCTCCTCGCTGCAGGTTTTCATGCCACTCAGGCACAACATCTGGTTATCATCGAGGTATTAGGAGGAACAACAGGATGAGGACGGGGAGGGCGAGGAAGGGCGGGGGAGAGGCGGAAAGGTGGTGATGGTGGGTTGCAGGATGAAAAGTGTCCCAAGGCTGAAGGGAATGAGACGGGGATGGAAAAGCAGGAGAAATGCGAGGAGGTTGGGGGCAAGGGAGCGAGCAAAGGGAAGGGAGAAGGAAAGAAGAGATTTGAAACTAAGGCGATGCTTTTACCGTGCTGCTCGTGATGGTAGTCGTAGAAAAGTTCGTCTCCTGCCTCCACTCGTCGTTTCGCAAAGATGCCAATTCGATGATCCCCCTGCTTCTATATCACAGCAAGGCAGTGGATCAAGACTGACATACCCTGACAAGAAGGATCTTTGCAAAGCAATTTGGAGAATTGCTGTGATTCGCAAAGCGAGTCTTGTTTCCCTTTCTCATGGCATCCAAGACAGTCTAGCGAGAAAGGGCCATTTCAGCAGGCGGTCTAGAAGATAGAAACATGTCACCTGATTGTTAAGGTTGAAGATGTAGCCTGTTGAAAGCATCAGTGAAATACTTGCCTTCACTTCACGCGATCCACTCACTCGAATTTCTCTTGTCGTAAATCTTTCCTCGCCTATCCGCTTCCTCCTGTGACATCTGCTCTCCCGTGTACTCCTGCCATCAGATTCGGATCACACTCTGGTCCTCGGACCGCGGGGAGCGACTCACTTGAATGAACTCGTTCTTCTCTACTGCATCTCGCACGAACACCCCCCATCCTTACCCCAGCTCGTCAGTTCCTCACTGCCATCAGAAAGCAGTACCGGCGACGTTGGAGCGGCCCATGAACAAGTGCTGATGTCTTCGAAGCTGCAGGTTCATGTTGGCGCAGAAGAGCTTGTCCTCATGCTTCTTGCTCCATGAAGATGGCGAGCTTGGTCCCACTCTCCCCGTCCTTACAGCAAGCGTGAGTCCTTGTCAAACGGCCTGCAGTCTCACTTGTCGTTTGCAACGTTCCCTTGCCCACCAGGGCTGTCGATGATGGGAGTGTTGACTTCTTGTGTGCCCGCAGATCTTGGGCAGTTAGATTCAGTTGCTGACGTCATCTCGTCGTCATAGCACCTGGGGGGGGACGGAGACCTCTCTGCTACTCTTTTGGTGAAAAGCCGAGGCGGCAGATGGCGATCAAACCTGACTCATGCGATCAGAGGCGACAAGGGTCAGACCTTCCGAGGACATGCCTGTACTGCCAGGCTCTCTTGGGGTTGTGCTCGAATTCCGTCCCGTTGTTCTGAGAGTCGAAGTTCACGTTGTCTTGAAAAGTGACTTCGAAGTTTTGCAGCATTCCTGCCCGACAGGGGATGATTGTCAACGTCAGCAGCGTTGAGGAGGTTAAGAGAACCAGAGGATCCGCAGGAGCAAACGTCAGGATCGCATTCTCGGAAAGCATCCCAACAGGGACAGCCGACAGAACGGCACTCGGTCTTCCTGCAGCTGCATCCGGGAAAGCCGTTGGAGCAACCTCCGAGTGGGCCTGAACAAAGCAAATATTACAATGACAAGACGAGGAGAAATATCATCATGGCATAAAGAAGAGAAGGGCCGTCTAGGAGGACACGAAAAGGAATGCAAAGATTGATTGAGCAGGACGAGAGAAATTGCGAGGAGGGCAGAAGGAGGAAGGCAGAAGGAGGAAGGCAGAAGGAGCAGTTCACAACTAGACGAAAGCAACCTGCACACGAGCAGAACTTCTCGCAAAAGTTGTTGGCTTGAATGCATTCACACGTAGGACGGACACAAGGTCGTCCGTTGAGAGCACAAGTGCACGGCCGATACTCGTGCTTAACTCCAAGTCGTTCCTGCTTGCGGAGGATCGCTAGAGTGTGCTCCGCATTCTCCTTCACGTGCTTCCTTTTTGACGTGCCTCTAGATCGCGCTCCGAACGGTCGGTTGTAGTTAGACTGGCTGTGTGCCCCGGAGACATTCAGGAAACCCTCCTACATCGCATCTCAGCTCCTCACTGGTAGAAGAACTTCCTCTACTCACCCGAAGTGGTTCGAGGACCGCCATCTTCCTTGTCTGGATTTCAGAGGGCCGTGGAAGCTCCCGTACGTACTCCTCGATGTGCTCCCGCGGCCGTTCTCTCAGCTACCAAGGCAGCAAGTCAGCCAAGTCAGTTTAACACCAGTAAGAATTTGGAGACCAGCGCTGAGATCTGATCGATGTTTCCTTGGAAGATGCGATTGGCCTTATCGCAGATCTGTCGCTCACTGGGAGTCAGGCCCAACCTTTCTCCAACGGCTGCTGCTGTCTCCGAGGACAAGGCCTTGACCTTGGTTCAAGGTCAGATCAAATCAACGTAGGCCGCGGTGGCTGGTCTCACCGCGTTTGCCAAGACTTGTGCTGGGAGAACCGCTGTGGTTGTCTTGCCGTTCTTGTTGTGCTGGACCGAGGGAGAGAGCTCCTCAGCAACGCTCCCGTCCCTCCCTTTCATATCAGCCTCATCCTCTGAGAATTCTCCTTCCATGGCGTTCGACTCGTTGTCACCGTCCCTGTAATGCTTGTCTCCAGCCTTGACCTCGCTCCCGGCATTCTTCTCTTCGTCCAGATCTGCCTTGTTCTCCGTCCGTGAGATGCTCCCATTTACATCTGACCTCTCCGGCTGGCTGCAGAACCCCTGATCAGTGAAATCACCCATCTTTGTTGGCTGGAGATTCTCAGAAGTGATTTCGTTCCCATCTACACTCAACTTTCTCCCGGAGTTTCCACCTTCTGTGTTGCCCTCGACGGACGGGGAGGGGGACACAGAATGGCCAAACTCAAGATTTGCAAGACCAGAAATGTTCCGAGAGGTATCAATCCCGGACTTCTCTCTCCTCTCCGATGGTACACCAGCAGGGCAATCCTGTATCGATGACTGTGGATGATAGATCCCATGAAAATCGCAATCATATTTGAAGCATCTCCTGCAGAACATAGCGGTGTACGTTTCCAGCCCTCGGCATTGGAGCTATTTGTACAGTGAGCATCAAAATCTCCAGAATGCCCTTCTTACCTTGTCGTCCTGCAGGTATTTCTCCTTCTTCTCTTGCTGCTGAGCTGCCTCCTTCGATTGCCCTTCATCCTCGAGCAATTTTGCGTGTCGTTCCCTCACATAGGATGTGCTACAAACAATGTCATGTGTAGTGGAGACTCGACTGGTTGACCTTCGAGACAGCTTTTCTGCAAGCACCGTGACCAAGAACGGACAGATCTCAAACTTCTGAGTGGCCTCGAAGATGAGTCCATCATGCACTGGATGGTGACTTGAATACACGTCAGAGAAACTCGAGTTTCATGCACCGCTACTTACTCTTCTTCACGTGTTGCATCGATCTCATACAAGGTAATGTCGATGCCTTCTCTATCGTCATCTGAGGGATTGTCAATGAGGTCAGCGTACATGCACATTTCTGAACCTGTAAAATATGGAATAACACGCAGCACGGGATCGTCTTCCACTGAAGTGTTCTTGATGATAGCTGTCCAAGACATGTGGGGGGGAAGTTCTTCGACCGCATGCACATTTTGCGGAGCGAGTTCAGCGTAATGTTTGGTTCCTATCGCACCCTGCAGTTGATGATCTCAATACTCCAGCATCGTGTTATGAATGTCTTGCCTGATGAATGATGTAGCTTGACTTGTTTTGAGAGGGAGTCGGCTTCTTCAGGGGCAAACATCTGCTTGAAAATGATCTGATTTCTGCACCATCACCTTCACTGAAAGCATCGTCACGGAATGGCAAGGAAAACTCATTGTGAACTACTTGTAAAGAATAACTGCAAATTCCAGTTGTGATACATCCTGTAGATTCCTGTGAGAAGAGCAATTCAAGTATCACATGGCCATTTTACCTCATTGTCCACATTGATTTCACACACATACTTCCCGTTACGATACAGCGCAAGATTCGTCCCTTTGTTCACTTCCAGCTCCAGATTGATTCTATCCCCTTGCTGCAACGAGCAGAAAGGACCAAAACTAAAACAATCCAAAGTCAAGGCAGCGCACAAGAGACATTGAATCATCGATGGGGTCCCATCTCCGTCATATCAAGAGGATACAGATAATCTCTCACAAGTTCGCTTCATTCTTGACCCAATGGTACGCTTTTGCTGGAGCTTCAAATTTGCCTATCTTCCCAGATTTTCCTTCAAAGAACCAGCCCATAGAACTGCAGGACAGTCATTTTAGTTTGCAAGACAACATCTCAGATCCCTCACCCGTCTTTTCTCATACAACCAAAATCAATTTCTCCCGTCGAGTCACGTGCCAAGTTAAATGAAATGTTGTTGCAGATTCCACCCAGGGAGGCCTGTCTGGAACTTCAAACTTGAAGGTGTACGCAAGGGTTGAGCAGGGCTCAGCAGACCTTCACAGGAACTGTATGTGTCCCATCAACAAGAGCATGCACATGAATCCCGTCAGGCGAGACGCGGATCAGTTGTTTTTCGTCGCAATCTTCAGAGTCTCCTGCTCCTCCGGAATCGCTCACAGCAGATATACAAACTGCATCCTCTGAAAAAGCTGCTGCGTAGGAACGACGTAATTCTTTCTCTGTTGAGAGACGAATGAGTATCAGCGATTCAACAATGCCGATGAAGCATCATGGTAAACAACAGGAAGATATGCATCACCGTGACCGCTGAGTCCCCTCTCGACTTTTGCTGCTTTGCATTCTCGGAGAAGCGAATCTATCTTACTTTTGTTCTCAAACATCCTGAAAACAATCTTACCAAGAGCCTCCAAATGATGAACATCGAAGGAAAGGGGGGACAAGGAAGAAAAGACTGAGGACTCACTTCGTCTCAAGCATGGTGACATGCTCAGCATGAAGACGCGCGTGACATTCTTCGATGAACTAGGGGAGGTCAGCCATAATGCTCTGAATCTGATCAAGTGATACCTTGTGGATCTCAAATTTCTGCTCATCTGTCACGGTACACACGTTCGACCCGTTTTCCTCCATCTTCTCCTTTATCCCCAAGTCCGGACTCGGTTCAGAATCTTGTGTCGCCACTTTGATAACGCAACATCATAAAAGAACATGTTATGAAAGAAGACACATCTCGTGCGTACCGTTCACATTCTCAGTAGAAATTTCCATTTTGTCGTCCATCTATGGATGAAGCCTCAGCTCTTCTTGTCAGGCTCGATGTTTCATTCCGCCGTGCTTGGGAAGCACTCACTCCCCTACAACAAGCAACATCAGTACAATCTATCATCAGAACAATCGATCATGCATCATTTGTCATATCCCTGTCATTTATGAACTCAGAATCCTTGGTCGTCGTCTCCTAGGTCCGTCGTCTCCTCGTCACCACAACTCATGCTTCGCGCAGTTTGTAGGATCTGACCGATCCGACCCGATTTTTGGTTGTCTCTTACCATCAACAATACCCTCATTCTTTCACTTCATGTTGGTCAACCACTATCAAGATGAACTATTCATTTGCCATGATTTACCCTGCATCTCTATCTACCTTCTCCTCCTTCATCACCCCATGATGTCTGTAATACTCCAGACCGCATGCGCGCAGTCATGAAAGGACTCCATGTTCCCCTCACCTTCCTTGTCCCTGCCTCCCTGTATCCACACCTCATCTTCCTCTCCTTCTCCTCTTCCTCCTTCCATCCCCTGCCTGCTCCCCTCCTCCCTCTCTTGCGCATCCCCCGCCATTTCTCTGCTACCTTCCCGCCATTTCCCCATCATCCAATGGTAGAGGTATCACCCCTCCAAATACGGAAAATTGGTATATCAAAAGTAGGGTGGGGTGGACCGACGAGATGTCACAATCGAGGCAGATCATGTTCGTGTTGCGTGGAGATGAACACCAGGAGGTTTGCAAACCATCTCGCGCTTGCAAGTGTTGGTGATGTAGATGTGATTGATCTGATGTTGGTAATGTAGATGTGATTGATCTGATGTTGGTGATGTACATCCGAGTTTCTTCGATGTATACCCTGCCATGAACACCGCGGTTCTTGTTTTGCCTTCCCTCGCTGAACGTGATTTCTTCTGCCCTGCTGTTCACTACACCACTCATCGAGACCTCGATTATCAAGGCAAGACTGACTAGACCCAAAGACAAACTTTAATTGCTCATATTCACAATCTCAGCAAGACAAGGCAGATTTCTCTGGCGATTTATCCTCCCTGCAGCATCACAAGGGCTGCGTATCCGCTCTCTGATCGCCCTCTCCCTCATGGTGCAATTCCGTCTCATAATCACCTCAAGGGCGTCACTCTATCGCTGCTGCTGTCTTCGTCTCTCCTCTCACAAGCTCTCACTCACATCCCTGTCGGCATCGATGCTGATTCCCTAGCATCGAGGAATGAAGCATGAAGCATGGGCGAGCACCGGCCATGAGGCTCTACTGCCGATCGCTGGTCCTTAGGCCGCTGGCTGCTGTCAAAAGATTGCTTCAACCGGCTGAACAAACTGAACACAACACAACCTGGGATGCGGTCCAAGCGGTCCATGCTGGGACCTCCTCTTTTCAATGTCTTTGAAATGGATTCAGCGACACATTCGACCAGCATACACAACTCCCGCACAGCAGAAACGGCAAAGACTGCTATGACATCCTCCTCTATACCATCTGTTCATGGTTGGGATGTTGGTTCCAGCTGGTAACGATTCCTCCTCCTTTCCTCGCCTCGCTCGATGGACGATCTCGGCGTGCAACTTCTCCGTCCCCTCGTTCTTACAGCCGACGGCTCTCCTCGCTCCTGCATGTCATGTTGCAGCCTTCGTCCTCTTGAGCGATGGTCGCTACCTGTGCGTCAGCTCAGCATGGCAGACGGCAGATATGTAGGAGAGTAGGAGGGGTCCAGGAAGCTTGGATATAGTGGAGGATTGGGGGTGGGGGTGGATTGGGGACTAAAACTATCTGGTTGCACGGCGTTGCCCGAATACTACCAAAAAAAATCCACAACTTTCCAAAACCAGGTGGTCACTCGACTTTTACTGGGAGCAGGAGGAGGAGCAGGAGGAGCAGGAGGAGCAGGAGGAGCAGGAGCAGGAGCAAGAGGAGCAGAAGCAGGAGCAAGGGGAGCAGAAGCAGGAGCACGAGCAGGCGCAGTGATGCACCTTCTCCTCTTCTCCCTTTTTCTCCTCTTGCCGCATGCAGTTTCCTTGACAATAGATGGGAGCGTGTTGGCAAGAGAGGACGGAATAGGCATGCATGACCCTGCGAGGGCCGACAAGCTTCATTTCCTTGGAAGATTCTGCTTCTCCAACACTGGATCAGGCATGGGAACCGTCACGATGACTGCCAACGTGGCGAGAGGAGGAGGCGGAACCAACGTGGTGCTCGTGGACGACACGAGATGGGCAGATCTGTGGAGGCAGAGGGAGATAATCGGCTGCACGCAAGCGCTGGGTGCCATGTCGGGGCAGGGAGCGTTCCTGTGGACCACGGACCTGCCGGAGGGGAAGAGCGCGAGAGTGCTCTCAGTAGAGGACAACGTGAGGCCCCATTACTGGTACGCTGCTGCCATGAACTGCAAGGGCCCGATGGACTTCACCTACAGCATCCGGTTCGTCCAACCTGACGGCACTCTCCTCTCCTTCGATGACGTGGGTGTGATGACAGCCTACGAGATGTTGCTCGTCCTCCTCCTCGTCCTTCTCTTCCTCCACGGGTTTGCTCATAACTGGAATCTACCGTACATGTACGGAGTGACAGTCCTGACCACCATCGTCCTCCTCTCGCTCTCGCTGGCCTGCGTGCTGAAGATCCTCCACATCTTTCTGATGAGCCAGGATGGGAGGGGTTCGCCGTTCCTGAGTGCAGTCGGGGACCTCTGTCATGCCAGTGCCCAGCTGTTCCTCTGCTCGATTTTCCTGCTGGTCAGCAACGGCTGGGGTGCCCTGTCTCCGGTCCTTAGGAGGGAGCACAGACGGCACATCCTCCTCCTCCTCCTCCTCTTTGTTGTCTTCCACGTCTACTTCCTGCTCAACGACTGGTTCTTCCTCGATCACGCCTCAGCCACGTATGCGTACGAGTCTCTTCCTGGCTTCCTGGTGGTGGCGCTGCAAGTTGCGTCTCTTGCCTTCTTCGGCTTCAGGCTGAGAGAAACGATGAACACGCTGGAGGGCGGCGAGAAGAAGCGCTTCCTGCTCCTCTTCGGCTGCCTCGCCTGCGTCTGGTTCATCCTAGTCCCAGTCGCCGTCCTCATCGCGACCCTCCTCGACCCTTACGTGAGGGCCAAGAGCGTCGCGATCATGAGGCTAGTCATCGACGGCTCCACCGTCACCGTCCTGGTCTGGCTCGTCATGCCCAGCAGGTAACGAGGGAGGAGAGGAGGAGGAGGGGGAGGAGGAGGAGGAGGAGGAGGAGCAGCAGCAGCAGCAGCAGCAGCAGCAGGCCACGAGTAGGCGAAGGGAGAAGAACGATAGTGGTGATGGATGAAACAATTGAGAAGGGGAGGGTCTAGAGGAAAGAGGTTGCAACGAGGAGACAATGGAGGAGTCGAGCTGAAGGTTTTACAGGTTGGACAAGTACTTCCAGCAGGCGAGGTGAACCTCCGCCTCTCCTCCTCCTCGCCTCTCCTCCTCTCCTCTCCTCTCCTCTCCTCTCCTCCACCTCCGCCTCTTCTCTCCTCTCCTCTCCTCTCCTCTCCTCTCCTCTCCTCTCTTCTCCTCTCCTCTCCTCTCCTCTCCTCTCCTCTCCTCTCCTCTCCTCTCCTCTCCTCTCCCAATTATGTTGTGATTGGGTTTTTTTTGATTTTATGATTTCTTAGTGTGGAATGTTTCTTATTATCTCTACCTCTTCCTCCTCTTCCAACTCCTGTCTCCCGTCTTCGTCTGCAATCATCCAGCCCTCCTCGTCTTCTCACTCCGTACTCCCACTCTCCTCGTGGTCCTGCTAACTTGTTCAGGCTCAGTTTGCCCTCCTGGTCCGACGTGGCAGAATCGGCACCCTACGAAGATTTATGAAGGAGGAGAAGGCGGGCAGATGGAGCTGGAGGGAGGAGGAAGGGAAGGGAAGATGAGGGGGAAGAAGGAGAAGAGAGAGCTAAGGGCGGAGCAGCGGGACAGGTGTATGGAGAGCATGATTCAAAGGTTTTCTTCCTTTATCGTTGTGTGGGGGGAGGGTGGGGGGCTGGAGACGGAAGGGAGGGGAGGGGGAGGAGGAGAGCGGAGTGAGAGGAGTTAGGGGAGGAAGTCAGGAGAATGGGGAAGAAGGCAAGTGACAGTGAGATACGATAATTACCCAAATTAACAAACATCAATGATAAATTTCTATAAGATGGACAGCAGGAGAGGGATCAGGAGGAGGAGGAGGAGGAGGAGGAGGAGGAGGAGAAATTTTTCCCTCCCCTTTTCTATGAGTCGCTATCGCTCCACAGCGCCTGACGCTTCTGCCGTCTATTTTTGTTGCCCTGCTTACATTGGGTTAGGGGAGAAACATGCAAAGAAGGCAAGTAAGGAAGAGGAGGAGAAGGAGGACGACGACGACGACGAGGAGGAGGAGGAGGAGTAGGGAGATGGTAGCAGGATAGGAGGAGGTCAGGGAAATGCATCCGGAAAATTGATCGGTAATGAAACTTGCTACCTTTCTTGAAACCGTCCCTGCATTTTGAATGTCATGCCTGAAACTTTCAAGTCAGGACCAGGAATTCCAACACTTCCCTCCACATTCTCCTCCTCCCCTCCAATATTACTCCCACTCTCTCTCATGAATCTGTCTTACTCTCCTTACTCTTGCCCCCCCCTCCCTTTCTGTTTCCCGTCTCCTCTTCCTGTCTTTGTTCGTTGGCTTCGCCCACCTTCCATTGGTCGAGGGTTTCGCTGCTAGAGGAACGTCGATGCTGCTAGAGTGAAGGTCAAGATACAGCATGAAGACGAACTTATCAAAGAAAAGAAGGGGAGGAGGAGGAGGAGGAGGAGGAGGAGGAAGAAGAGGAGGAGGAGGAGGCTTACCTTGGTATGACGTCAACGTCTGGAGGTATTGGAAGCTTGTCATCCTGCAGATGAATGAGTGCATATCCAAGCAAGATGGAACGAGGAGGAGGAGGAGGAGGAGGAGGAGGAGGAGGAGGAGGAGGAGGAGGAGGAGGAGGAGGAGGAGGAGGAGGAGGAGGAGGAGGAGCAGCAGCAGCAGCAGCAGCAGCAGCAGCAGCAGAGGTACCTCAGCTAGTATCAGCAAGCGTGCCTCCTTCACCAGAGACTCCTCTTCCTCGGACGAGTCCGAGTCCTCAACCTCTATGGAGGAAGCGAACGGGTTTGTAGGAGCCGACTGAGAGGCGAGCAGCCCCCTGAGATCTCGATGGGGGTAGGAAGAGGTTGTATGGGCTGCGCCGTTGTTTTCCCTCCCTCCTGCTCGGGAGGAGGAGGAGGACTGAGGTTTTCGTGTATGAGCCTGCATCTTGGTTCTTGACTTGTCGTGAGAGATCTTCCAGAGCCATTCGTCGTCGCTGTCTTCCTCCTCTTCCTCCTCCTCGTGCTCCTTGTTGCCTTCAGAACAAGCGTCAGGTTCACATGAGAGTGTTTCAGCGAGCCTGAGGTGTGTGGAACCTGTCTGAAGTTTCTTCACTCCATCGATCAGCTCCATCACAGTCTTCCACGCGACCGACAGCGGAGGCTCGTCGCTCTCCACCATCATCTCCCACAACTTAGTAACCAGGTCCTGTGATGACGTCACCGTCAGGCGCTAGCAGACGCTTGGGAGGGGCGGGAGGAGAGAGAGCCAACCTTGGAGGGAGACAGGGAGCTGTTGTGCGCGTCCTTCATGGCATTTTGTGAAGCCATCGAAGGAGTGAAAATATCGAGAAAGACATCCCAGACCAGCGCAGAACCTGAGAAGCAGAAAATGAGGGCAACTGAAGCGAGTGAGAGGAGAGGGGGAGGCGGGAACAAGATCAAGGAAGATTGGTTCTTCAGCGAGACAACGCAAGGGAAAGAAAGATTCTTATGAGTGTGAGAGGTTTGATGTGAAATCATCATGAGAGAGGATGAAACGAGAAAGCGGATAGTGTGAAAGCGCTTGCAACATCCTCAATCCAGGTCACACGAATTCCAATGAACATCCACGAGCTTGAAATCAGCCCAACAAATTCAAAACAAGCTCGACAGCTTCAGATCGATGGGATGAAAAAACATCTGGACCTGGAGGTATTTGCCTTCCCCACAATCGCTCGAGAATGATGAGGTCCCACTCGTTCCCGAGGAGGCTACAACACAGCTCACGGCACCTCTCCCTCTTCACGTCCTCATCCTGCTTCTGCTTGATCCTCTGCAAGGGAGCGCTCAGATGCCTGCCGGAGCTCGTCGACCCGAGCAAGGAGAGCGAGACGTTTGTCTGAGGACGCGGAGTAGCTTCCTCAGTCTTCCTTGACCTCCTCTGCTTTCCTCCCGGCAGCTTCCCCGCCCTGCTCCCTTCGTCCGCCCTCAACCCTCTCACCCACTGGGAGACCGGATCCTTGTAGATACCAATCGAATCACTGGACAAGTCGCTCAGCGATCTCGATACTTGGGAGGCCTCGACGGCAGACCGCTTCGACGGCCCCTCAAGTCTCTCCCCGGCCCATCTTGGTCCAGCATGGTTGTCCTCCTGTCCTCCTCCTGCTCTAAAGATCCTCTTGTGCAGGCGTGACAGCTCCTCCTCTGAGATTGCATGCTTCTCCTTCAGCAGCCTGATCATCTCCCACAATTTCTCTATCTCAACCCTCTGCTTCCCCATCGCCTCCCGTGTCTGCTCGTTCTTCCTCATGAGCACGTTGATCGTCGCCTCCAAACTTTCCTTCCTCCTCTGCATCTCCTCCTTCTCCTCGTAGCTCTGCAAGTGAGCCTCAGCCTGCTCTCTGATGTCCTTGGTCTGCTGCAGCAGCAGGCGTTTCCTTCCGCAGCCCGAGCGAGGGCACTACACAGCTTCTCCCGCTCCTCCTCCAGCAGGTCCTGCTCCTTCTGCATCTCGCTTCTGATCTGTTCGCAGTCATTCTGCACCCTCACAACCTCTGCTTCAAAGAAATCTTTCTGCCTCTTGAGCGTTGAGAACTCTTCGTTGACGTTCTGAATGATGCGCTCGAGCTTCTTCTCCACGAAGTCAAGCCGCACGTTTGCGTTCTGCAGCTCGAAGCTGCTCTCGCACGCTTGTTCCTCCTTGCTTGCAATGCTTTCTTTCAGCGCGATCAGCTCTTCTTCAGCGGCTGCAAGCTTCAGGTTCCTTGCTTTCAACGTAGCAATTTCCTCCAACAAGGAATTGACCTTACCTTGCCATTCATTCCTCTCATCGATGATCTCGTCCATGACCTCGTCCCTCACTTTATCCTTCATCTCCATGTTGCTCCTCAGCAGCTGGTTCCTCTCCTTCTCCATCTCCTTCAGCTTGCTCTTCAGGATCTTGCACTCATGCATTTGCTCCTCCTTCTCCCTCTTCATCGCTTCCACCTTCGTCCTCTCCTTGCTCATCATCCGGTTGGCTGCCGAGATTATGGCCGACATTCGAGAAGCGATCTCAGTCGGATCTCCTCGCAGGAGAGGAGAGGAGGGGTCAAGACCCTTCACCAGGATCTCCTCCGCCTCCTCTCCCGTCAGGCCCTCCTGGCTCGAGCTTCGACTAGCTTGTTTCATGAACCAATCTTTCCTGCTGTAACTGGCGTCTACTGCGATCCCATTCGTGGATCCAGTAAGAAAGTCCGAGTCCACTTCCATCCTTCCTTAGCCCATGGCAAACCTGTACAGGAGTGCCTCAGAACATTCTATCATTTCGCACCTCCAAGAATCTCTAGACTCCAATCCTCTCAGAACAGAAGTCTTCTTCATCAAGTCTTATCATACACATCCATTATCGACCACGCCTGTCTGCCCTCTTCCTACTCATTCGCCTTCATCTGCCACTAGGCCGGACTCTCCTCTTCAATCTCAACCAAACTTAGTGAGCTTGTGCTACCCGGCAGCTCAGTTTCCGATGCTCTACCCTCACCTACCGCCTTCATCTGATCACAGTGATCAAAATCGCCTCCTCCTCCTCCTCCTCCGCCCCCTCCTCCCATCCCTTCCCCTGCTCCCGCCGCTCTCATTCGGCAAAACCCAATCATCGCGCCCCTCGTTCTAACTCCCTCCAACATCCCACCCCCTCAAAGACCTGGAATAGTACCCGTCCCTGGATACCAAAAAAAAGTTCAAGGTTCTTTTCTTTCTTTTTCAAACTTTTTGCTTTCAAAAAAAACTTTCTTTCTTTCTTTTTTGTTGCGTCGAAGTTTGTGGCAACAGTAGGCGGGAAGTATGGCCGAGATCGACATCTTCAGAGGGTGAGATGCTAATGATGGTGGTGGTGGTGGTGGTGATGGTGATGGTGATGGTGATGATGATGATGATGGTGATGCTGCTGCTGCTGCTGCTGCTGCTGATGATGATGATGATGATGATGATGATGATGATGATGATGATGATGATGATGATGATGATGATGATGATGGTGGTGGTGGTGGTGGTGGTGGTGATGGTGATGGTAGCGGTGATGATGGTGATGGTGATGGTGATGATGGTGATGATAATGGCGGTTGCGGCGGTGGTGGCGATGATTGTGATGATGATGGTGATGGTAGCGGTGATGATGGTGATGATGGTGATGATGATGGTGGTGGTGATGATAATGACGGTTGCGGTGGCGGCGGTGATGATGGTGATGGTGATGGTGATGGTGGCGGTGATAATGGCGGTTGCGGTTGCGGTGGTGATGATGATGATGATGACAAGGAGGAGGAAGAGAGGGCAGAAAGAATAGTACTTTTTTAGCTGTCTTGGTGTTGATATAGATACAAGAAGATAAACTTGAAAACTCTAGACAAAATGGCTCAATTCATCTCTCTTTGACATTCATCTCTCGCTTTTGTCTCCAACCGGTTTTCTCGTGATGGCTGTTGTTTGAAGGTACATCTTGGAATATCAAAACTCCAAGTTAAAACGGAGTCGGCAAGGTACCTTGGATTTTCGGATCTTTGGAATAAAATTACCAGCAGATGACATGCATTTGATTGAAAAGTCAACCACTACGGTCAAGATAGACTTCATCATTGCTAAGAGGAATTTAGTATGTCTCTGAGAATGCAAGTGACCACTTGGCTTTAGGCTCTTCAAGATGGTTTCGAATGCATTCGCAAGCTGGGCCTCATTGAGGCTCCTCAAACATTGCCAATCGGCATCTCAAGTATTTCATCTGTACTCAGCGCGAGCGATTTGACATGTTTGACAGAAGTTCATAGTGCAGGAAAGGAGGATGAGGAGGTTGAAGCATCATATCTATCAACCCTGGTGCCCTCGCCCAATTGTCCGAAGGCTTGTAGCAGCAGCGAAGAAATGCAGTTAAAACAGTTTCACACATTCATCTGCGGGGTGATGTGGTTTTCCTTCCTTTAGTAAAAAAATAAAAACTGCTATTAGAAATTCAGCGATCCTCGTTAAGTTTGAGATTTGGTGAGAGTGTCAATGGCGAGGATAACCTGCAAGGCAACTCAGAAGACAATTCAAGCAATTCTAAAGGTTGTAACCTTATCGTAAAGAGTGTCAACCTGTACAGGATTCGGGCTATTGGCGATCCGGAAATATCTATTTGAGGTCGAGGAGGCATCAGAAGGCAGTGACTGACATGGTACAGGTACCTCTGAGGACCCCTCCGCCAGATCGCCATGTTTTCGAAGTGCTTCAGACCTGCACCAAAGGATCACCTCCCGTCGATGCCTGGATGTGCATGGAACCGCTCGAGCCGTCAATGCCAAGTTCGATCAAGAACGAGTCATCGGGCATGAAGAGCGAGTGAGTGAGACCCGCCCCTGCCGAAAGAGAAGGATAAGAATCATTCTTCAAGATTCATCAACTTTGACTTACCGTGAGGCCCGATCATGATATCAGTCTGAGCATCTACAGCTATCTGAGAGGCATGTAAGACAGGCACACAGCCACTGATGCAGCACTTGTTCACGGAAACTCATCTGATTGTAATCCTTTCTTGACACGATAACCCTTCTGCAGGTCAATCAATCACAAGCAACTTCCACACAGTGATCACTTTGATCCCTTGAACTCAGTCTCTTCAAGAGTTCGGAGCTTCTGAATCACCTACACAAACTCGGTGAGGGAAGCTAAGAAAAGGTCAACAGTGGCCGACCTCGTCTTCGTTCTTGACGACTCTGCGAAGCTCGCGAATGCCCAGATGTGAAAACAGGCTGCATTTCCAGAAAGTGTCGTCCTCACAAAAGTTGAGCTCCGGCCATTTCACAGAGGATTTCCTCGACATCCAAGTGATAAGAAGGTACTTCCGTTCCCCAGGGTACACATAAGTTGTCTTGTGGTGTACCTTCAGGCCGCGAATCATCCAATCTGCGTAGGCTATGACGAGTGGCGATCGTGCACATTTGGTGACTGAAGTGTGGATGGTCAGGGGGGATGCTGGGCCGACAATGCCTGTGATCAGACGACTGAAACAAATCTTCGAGCCTTTGTACTTGTTCTTGACATCCCATGCACGAAAAACTCGATCAGGAGACTTGGCGAAGGCGTTTGTCCAGATATCAAAGAATGGGCCCCGAGGATACAGATCGAGGAAGAAAAGTTGAAAGTCTGAAAGCCCCAGGTCCAGGATTGCGAGCGCCAAGAACAAGTTGAAGAAATCCTCAGAATCATGAAAGAAGTTTGCAAAGGTGTCTCGCTGGAGGACGATAGTGGCTGTTTCTTCCCACTCGTCACATTGCAAGGGCTTCCAACTGTTCGCTCTTGCAGCTTCATCGCCAACTGTGCTCAACGCTCGACGAGGGAAATCTGCACCCGTGGCGTTGACAGCGACCGTTGAAACTTGAAGTCCACTTGCATCATCCCTATGCTGGTTCAGTCTACGTCCTTGCGCAGCTCCCTGCTTCGCTGCTTGTTCCCCTCCCACAGAGGCTGATTGTTTTGCTACTTCTCCCCCTCCCCCTGCCCCCTCTGGCGGTGACTTTTCTCCCCCTGTTGCCACCTCCTTCGCTGATTTTTCACCTTTTGATTCATCTTTTTTGTTGGAACCTTTCTCTGAATTCGAATCTGATGTTGCTTTCGCCTTGTCTGATTCTTTTGTTGCTGGGTCTTCTGTTGAAGAGACCTGATGATATGACGAAATGAGGTCCTTGTTCCACAGCGGGAGTTTGTCTGGTCGGAAATTCTGGGTTATCTTGCAAGTGCCTTTCAATGTCCCATCTTTCCAGTGAATGTATGCTTCATCTGAGTGCTTCGACTCCACGTACTTTTGCATCACGGAACTTGTAACTTCATCGTTTTGCAAGTCAGAAATATCAAACAAGATGTTTCGAAGAGAGCAAAGGTTATCGACAGCAGAATGTCCATCCTGTCGGAACGGGTAGCATGAAATCTCTGTCTTTGAACGGGTCGTTCCCGAATCTGACTTCTCACCTTCTGGCTCACACCACACTTCCCGTTGTTTCGACCATTTTTCGACAAGTCCAATACCAAAGCTGTTATGACAAGAATCGTCTTGCGACTTTATGCTACCGTAGAACGGAGGATCAAGCCAAGACTTCACGGTCTTGGTCGCGTAATCTTCGTCCGAAGCAACAATCAGAGGATGGATTTCACTTTTGTCCACAAGTTTGGTATCCTTGGCATACTCGATAGATTCAACCTCTTTGCGATAAATCTCCACGGTCCTCTTCCATTCTTTCTTCTGCTCCTCAATGGTCAAGTCCTTCTCATGATTCAGCGCCTTGATAAACTTGGTGATTACATTTGAATCCTTGTTTCCACCTTCTTTTACTTCTTTCTCTTTGCCATTGTGGGTCGAATCGGATATTTTCAATCTAGTCCCATCTCCCCTTCTCCAGGAAGCCAGCATCTCGAAGTTCTTTTTCAAGGTCTCAAAATCTGTGCAGCTGTGTGAAGATAATTCTTCCAACTCATGTGTTATGGAGGATGCTTCTCGTGTCTTCATGTCCTCCAGCCCTGGCAACTTCTGCATGCACTCTGCCACAGATTGCAACAATGTTTGGATTTCAATGGGATAGCTGTCATCAACCATGTTCTTCACTGACTTCTCATTGAGCATTCCAAAGAGAAGGATCGTGTCAAGCAGGATCATCTTCTTCTCTTCCATCAACCGCTTTCTCTTCTCCACTAGATCTACCTTGTATGCCGAGATTGTGTTGGTAGTGTCTGCTGTCGCGTTCAAAATTCTCTTCATTCTCTCATTGTCTTGCACCAGCGATCGATATCTGTTTGGGAGAGAGAAGTGATTCTGTATGACGTAGTACGAGAAGACTGCTACAAGAACAACAAATGCCGCTGTTCTCCTGTTCACCTCGGACATTGTTCCCTGCATGCCGCAAGGAATTCGAAGCTGCAACGTCAACAGACAGGACGGAATGTTTCACTCGAGGAAGGAACAAGTATGCCGACCAGTTCACGGGGTAATGGCTTTCCTAGCAAGATCGATTTCTTCATCCCAGAGAGGGGGGCGAACTTCCGCGGCTGATCCAACCACCTAGCAGCACGAGTGAATGAGAGATCCAGAGGAATGAAGGATGGATAGCAGTTGTTCCATGTTGGCTTTCTTGTTGGAGATTTATGATGAACATGCTTTGGGGGAGGGGAGATGGGAAGATATGGTGGACATGCCAGCGGACTAGACAAAACATTAGGTGGTCGACTCAAGGCCCTAACGCAGGAGGGAAACGCTACACAGCCTGGTAGGGCGTGGTTTGGAACAAAGAAAAATGAACTACAGTGAAAACAAATCCAACTGACAGCTACGACAAGAGTAGGAGGCGGAAAAAACGAAGATAGGAAAGATAGGAAAGATAAGGTTGTAGAGGGCAAGTAAAGGAGGACAATCCTGGATAGATGTTTGAAAGGACATTTCTCTTGTCAACATGTCTCTCTTCATCTACTCATTCTATGCCTCTTCTATCTCGCTACACCTCGTCGCCTCCTTCCTGGCGGATTCCCGCCGCTTCGTTAGCTCAAAAAGACTCGACATGGCATGACTGGCCTTGTCCACCACAATATACAAGTATCATTTTTAACCAGTTTATCTATTGTCCATATTCGTACAAATATTAGCCCTTTGTACTTTTAATATATCTATATAATTTAACTTCTTTGTATAGAATGATATATTCAATAGTGTTTTAAAGTTTCTAAAACCCCACATTTAAATTTTCCCAACGTGCCAGACGCGGGCGCGCCCCAGGCCAGGCACGACGCAGAGTATGAGGGGGATGATGCGAAGGAGGGGGATGAGGGGATAAAAAAAAACTGGAGGCGTGCACGAGGACAAGCGGCGATGGCGGCGAACACCAGCGCGGATCTGCTATGGATGCTGACACGTTCTAACGTGAGGACCGCAGTGATGATGATCTCTCATTGTCGCATCTGTTCTCCATGCCATGTCCTTTCTTGAGTTGAGCTGTTCTCTTCTTTGTTTGTCTGTAGATGGATGATAATGGCACGCGCTCATGCCGTCTGATTGGGTGTTCTATGTTGAAGTGAAGGGATTATGAAGGTGTATGTCTTGTACGATGACAGCCAAAGTTCTCATATGCAGTGACTGGAACACTTTGTTTTTGCTAGCAAATTGCTCATTGTTGGTGAAAATCTCGTTTGTTGGAAGTTGGTGCGTCTTGAAAAGCAATTTTGTAATTTTAGAGACGAACCCTCCGCATGGTCATGAGGCTGCTGATGAATGTGCAGAGTTGCTGATTGCAACATACTGAATTTCTGTGTAACATTGTTCTGTATGGATGCAACCCTGTAGCGTTTTGTTGTGTCCTGTTCATCTCACACTTGCCTGTTCAGAGCTCTTTCCTCGTCAAGAGAGAGAGTGGCCGCATTCAGCTTTCCAAGGATCCGTTCAACTTGATGAACAAGAACTCCTTCAAGTACTCGGGTCTTGCCAACGGAAAGAGCGCCGACATCCGCCAGTACGAGAACAAGGGAATCGTGCTGACCACCAAGCTCACCAAGGCTGCCACCAGCCCGGTAGGAAGCTGCGGGGAAGTGAGTGCAAGGTTGCTCATGGTTTCACTGCAGGCCAAGAGCGTCAGGAAGGTTGTCTGCTCCAGGGACTTCGAGCGCAACTTCAAGAAAGTTGCCAACTGCGTTTCCAAGACCGTCGGTGGATACTACCGCCCTGACCTCGAGAAGTCGGCTCTTGCTCGCTGGACCAAGTACCACCGCGCTTTGAAGAAGACCAAGGCCATGAAGGTACATCGGGTGGAGACAGAAGAAGTCGGAACTAACGAGTGTCGCAGGCTGGCAAGAAGTAAATCGCTTGACATACCGATATTTGAATTACAAAAACAACAAAAATCAAAAATTCCAGAGATATGGGACCTCGAGCTGTGACCAGATATTTTCTTTAGACTGTTTGTTTATTGGGACATCACGTCTGGATGCATTTGACATCACTCAAAAGCTTCAAATGCGAACGAGCCCAGACTGAGTTACGCTCGCCACCTCTCGACCATCACTCACCCAGACTCACACCACCTTCGATTGTGGGAGAGGCCACCAGCAGATAAGCAGAGACTAGAGTACATTCACCATCCTGTCTTGTATGGAGATTCCCGCGGCTTAGGATTGATCCTTCAACTCATAGTCAGCATTTCGTTACACCGCCCTGTCGAACTCGGTGACCTGAATGGATCCGTGAGACCCTCGGCAAGCGACTTGCCCGTTGCCTGCCAGCACGAGAAACATCAGCGTGACATTTAGCTGAGGAGCTACACACAATCGAATCTGCAGCCGCGATGCAGCCGACGAGTCCTGTGCGTGGTGAAAGTCAGGGAGCACAGCAAGGAAACGAGGAGGAGCAACCTGGTGTTGCGAGTACAGCACAGTCTGCGCAAGTCTGCGTGACGATCTGTGCATCAGACTTCTCCGTTGAAGCCGCTTGGCCGCTGACGGTCTCATGCACAGGCGACAAATCCACCAACGGGAACTTCAACCATCCGCTAGAGCCTGTTGAGAAGTCAAGACCAGGTGTCTGCGTGGAGAGCCACCTCACCGTTAGAGATGCTCTTTGCCTCCTCCTTCTCCTTCTCCTGCTGGGTCTTGGGTTTGTGCCGCAGCATCGACAACCCTCCTTCGAGAAAATCGTCCAGCATGCCTGCAGCACCAACGTGTGAACCTCTTTCAGTCCCCCTTTGAGCGCGGGGCAAACTTTGAAGCTCCTTCTTAAGAAATGATGAAATGACAAGTTCAAATCTCAAACTTTGAAGCTCCTTCTTAAGAGATGATAGATTGACAAGTTCAAATCTCAAACTTTGAAGCTCCTTCTTAAGAGATGATAGATTGACAAGTTCAAATCTCAAAGTGCCTAGAAGCAACATGAACAGACCTCTGCAGAGTAAAGGAGGTTGAGGTTTGCTTTGCAAGATTCAACACTGATCAGAAAACGGAGAGGAGAGTGAGAGAAGACAAGAGAACAAACAAGAGATGGGATACAACACCATACAAGAATCTCGGCATGTCATGATATTCATACTCTTCCTCCCTCCTCTCTCTTGCTTCCGCCCTTGCTACGTGCGGGACCCCCGCTGCTCTTCGGGTACATTGTCGGCAAGGACCCTGCGGTCGGACTCTGGGGTGGATCCAAATCAATGGGGTTATCTCCTCGATAAATATGGGGTACATTGTTGGGAAAGAGTAGGTGGGGGTCATGTGATCAGGGGTGCTCTGGACACCACCACAATCGCAGACAGGATGCCGCACAAACACGATTCCATGATGATAACACCACTGAACAAATCTCAAATCCCCTCCTGAATTATTTCATGTACGTCTTTATACAACAAGATTTGGTTTGTGTTCTCAACTATCATATTCCGAAGAAGTGTCTGCGGAAAACGAAGCAAAAGATGATTAAAGTAATGAAAACCTGTACAGAAAACATGAGTTTCTGCTCGAATTCCCTCAGGTAGAGGTGGATACCGTGCAGAGAAGAAACAGTGATGGAAGAGATGGATCATAGTATAGCAAGTGCCGATTGTGATTGAACGTCGCGCCCTCCACGCCATTGAGCACACAAAGGCAAACGATCACCAAGAGAGTATTCGCCCACCCAACACTAGTGGGAGTGACACAGGTCGGCCGTACTCTGCCATGAAAGAAGAATAAGATGTTTCAGCTGCCTCGATCGGCAGAAGCTATCTATGCAAATGCATGATATATGCAGATGAATTCAAAGAAAAATCTCATGCTCTTTCTGCCTGACGTCAAAGCAACACCCTGACCTTCTATGCTGTCTATACAACACCAACACGAGAATCAAGGTCAGCGAACAAGAAATGCGCTGCAGTATCAGACAAGAGCACTCCCAACACAGAACTGCACCAGAAAATAAAAATACTGCGAACGAAGATAAAATGCAGATAATCGTCATAACGGGGTTGCTGGCCAAGAATATGGCATCAAAGGCAGGGTGCATCACAGCAGTTTGAAAGCGATTCAATCTTGAGCATGCTGGAAATGCAGCTCGAGAGGAAAGGGATCCTTGAAGGGCGAGGAGGGAGTGAGTGGGCATGGGGCATCAAGGTTTTTTAGCTGCTGCATGAAGCAAGGGAGGGAGAGCTGCTGCATGAAGCAAGGGAGGGAGAGCTGCTGCATGAAGCAAGGGAGGGAGAGCTGCTGCATGAAGCAAGGGAGGGAGAGCTGCTGCATGAAGCAAGGGAGGGAGAGCTGCTGCATGAAGCAAGGGAGGGAGAGCTGCTGCATGAAGCAAGGGAGAGCTGCTGCATGAAGCAAGGGAGGGAGAGCTGCTGCATGAAGCAAGGGAGGGAGAGCTGCTGCATGAAGCAAGGGAGAGCTGCTGCATGAAGCAAGGGAGGGAGAGCTGCTGCATGAAGCAAGGGAGGGAGAGCTGCTGCATGAAGCAAGGGAGGGAGAGCTGCTGCATGAAGCAAGGGAGGGAGAGCTGCTGCATGAAGCAAGGGAGAGCTGCTGCATGAAGCAAGGGAGAGGCCGCAGCTTATTTACCTCCTAGCATCCGCTGCTTGCGGATGCATGGCGATCTCGAAGGGGCAGCGAACTTGATGTGAACCAGATCTAGAACATCTACCCTAAAATTGTATCTCAAATCTAGAACACTTGCCAGCCGGCCGGCCGCGGCGGCGGTCACCGTCGCCGCCGGCCCCGGGCCGGCGGGCCGGGCGGCCGGCGGCACGGTCCGGCCCCGCGGCCGGGCCGAGTCAGTCACACGGGCGGCTGCCGCGTCACAGTGGTGAACGGGCCGTGGCGGTGGCCGCACCGTGACCGACGGTGCAGAGTCACGGTCCGGCTGCCCGGCAGAGCCCACTTGAACGGTCCCGGCCGGGCCGGGCCGACAGTTTTGAGTAAAGAAGGAGCTCCGAGTCCGATCCGATCAGAGCCAGTGGGTTCAGTCACACCCGGGCCCCGCGGCCCCCCGGCACGGCGGGGCGGCCGGCGGCGGGCCGTCCGATCGGACTCGCGGGCCGCCGTCCGATCCGAGTGACCGTCTACGCGGCCGCAGTATCACGGCAGTCACCGTGCCCGAGAGACGGTCCGATCTCCGACCGGCCCGGCCCGGCGGGCCCCGCCGGGGCCCCCGATGCCCGGCGCAGTCCGATCGGATCGGATCAGGCTTGAGTAGTAGTAACGGTTAACGGTCGGGTGGGTAACGGTTGAGGATCACTGGCGTGTACATTTGAAATGCTTATTACCAAGAGGAGGTAGCAAACAGGCGGAATAGAGGACGGGAGCCTCGGACAGTAGAGATGGGAGAGAGAGAAGATGGTAGACGATGAAGGAGGAAAGCAGAAAGAGCGTGACAGCAGGAAGGAGATGCTTTTGATAGCAAGCTCTTCAAGGTAGATGAAAGAATGCTTCTAGGAAGATGAAGGGAAAGGCGAAGAAACTTAGAGGTAGAGGACGTCATTGTTGCATTCATCTGGGTCTATAGTCTGTATCCTTCCTTCCTTCCTTCCTTCCTTCCTTCCTCGTGGTTTTTTGGTTTCACAGTTCACAACCAGGTGACCTGTTGGCCTCAAGATGATTGAAAGAACGGCTTCATCCGCCAGTGATGCACAAGGTGACGTGGAGAGCGTTGTAGTAGCAGTCCGCGTCCGACCACTGCTGGACTTCGAAGCTCACCAAGAAGAATGTGTGGAGGTGTGAACAATGATACTTGATGGCGCAAGACTGATGCGAGTTGTCTTCTCTTTGTGTCTTGCCAGGTTGTAGACAATCAGACTATCACGATGTTCAAGAACGATCCGAACAACCAGCAGACAGGCATCTCTGCAACGTCAATGAAGTTTGACAGGATCTGGAGCAAGCAATCATCGCAGGATGACGTCTTCCACGAAGCGCAGCAGCTGGTGGACAGCGCCTTTCATGGCTACAACGCCACCATCTTCGCCTACGGGCCGTCAGGGTCCGGCAAGACACACACGATGATCGGGACGAAGGAGCAACCAGGCATCGTCCCTCGCTCGTTAAATCGCATCTTTGAGCTAGCGGACAAGCAGCAAGACAGCATGTTCATGATCGCCCTGACTGTCCTCGAGCTCTACAACGACCAGTTCTTCGACCTGCTCGACAACACGAAGCCGACGGGATGGCTGGGGTGCAAGCAGAGGAGCGCCAGGAGCCTCATGACGCAGACAGGAACTACCATCCTCAGCCCCAGCAGGAAGATCGAAGTGGTCAGGAACGGTAGACAGTCACAGCTGAAAGGAGACTATATGAGGATCCAAATAGACGACCCCTCTGCCGCCATGTCCATTATCGAGAACGGACTCAACCGTCGATCCACCTCCGGCACAATGGTCAGAAGTCTCCCTCCTCCTGCTCCCTCCTACACTCCTGCCCCCCCATCCCCCCCCCCCCACCCCCTCCCCCCCTCCTTACCCTTCCTCCCCCTGCTCCATGCTCCTGTCGCCCGGCGATTTCTTCATTGGAGAGCAGACTCCTTTCCGTTCCTTTCCGTTCCGTTTTCACCCTTTTCATCTCCTCCCCTCCCCTCCCCTCTCCTCTCCTCCTCATTCTCTTCGCCTCTGAAACGTTTTGCAGCTCAACGACCGCAGCTCTCGCTCGCACGCCATCGTGATGATTCAGGTGCAGCAGGCAAGCGCGCGTTCCTCCTTGTCCTCTGGCAAAGAAGCCAGTAAGGCAACGACCCTCGGCTCGCTCTTCCTCGTCGACCTTGCAGGTTGGATACCTCCTCCCTCTCTTCTCTCTTCCGCCACCTGCACCTGTTCCACAACCACCTGCACACCCTCCTCCTCCTCCTCCTCGATGCTCCCCTCCTCCACCACCACTACCTCCTCTCCCCTTCCTCTCGTCATCTTTGAATGCACGGCTTTCTCCCCTCATTCTTATTGTTTTCCATCCACAGGAAGCGAGAGGATCAAGCATTCCGGAGTTACAGGAGATGCTCATGAAGAGGTAGGGAGGAGAAGGAGCAGGAGGGGGGGGGGGGGGGGGGGGAATTTTTTGATTTTTCTTTCAAAAAAAACACATCAAAAAAACTTCCTTTGCTCTCGGCAACATTCTTCCTAGCCTTTTAAAACCCCCAAAAGAAAAAGGGCAAGACTTTCCCCCCCACCCGCTGCAGCGCGGCGTTTGTTTTCATATGG